CATTTTTTGTCTATTAGACATTGACGTTCTGCTGTGCAAGGGAGGAAACTTGTAAAAGTGTGGTGGTCTTAAGACAATCTTAAGTTATTACGCTTAGAAAGAAAATCATTCACTTTATTGCTTATTTTGGGAATCGTAACAACTCGGCTTTCTCGGCAACTTCATGGGGGTCGAACGTATAAAGGTTCGTTACTTTTTAAGCGAGGTGAAATGGTACGATACGGAATAATGGCGGAGGAAAGTGACAAATAACGTGGGTAAGAACCAGTTTGTTTCAAATATTTGTTGTATGTTGTAATTTTTGTACGGGTGACGTAGTGCACGTGAAGCAGAATACATTATAGTGTATGATAGTTAAAGTAAAAGAATACATTTCATAGTAAGGAGAAATATATTGAAAAATGTGTTTCTTCAAATGCCATCGGCAACCTGACATACAAATTTAAAAAAAAACAACTACACATGCATGAAACATATATTTGATAAGTTATAGAACCAACATGTTTACAATTAACAGCAAAACAAAAATTAAAAAAAGAATGGCTATTTCGCATATACCTACAATGTTTCCGTATTTCTTACTGTACGCATGAAAATTTGTGCGTCAAACTAACTGTACGCAAAAAAAACAAAAAAACAACTGATATCAGTTGACTGTGCAGTAGCAATTTCTAATATGGTGATAATGAACAATTAACTACATGTATATCACGCTTATATATTTATGGTAAATGGATAAATTAAAGGAAGGACAGTTCCGATTACGGAAGAAGTCTTCCGTGCCCTGGTACAATGTAATATGAAATTACCTCTTTATATGACTATCTGAATCGACATGTGCTCCTTAAATACGAAACATGTACAGTGTCAGACATATTTTCTGGATCAGCTGTGCTGGTCCTTTTGTAGCCCAACATAACACGGCTTTTTATTATGTACGACGGTCGCCTTTCGTAAAGACAGACATCTATGTAATATCAGTATATAAACCAATCTGTCAGGCTTCTAGTCGAACTACTATTAGAAATCTAGCTATGTTGCGAGAAAGCACAATTCATGCTTCAGCTAATTATTTATAAGCATTGATATAAACATTAACAGGATACACTTATTGCATTTAATTTTTTCTTGAAATTGTATTTACCTTACTAATCTACTGTAATTGTGGGATAAGGGCTCTCTAAAGATAGAGATACTGTATGCAGCCCCATCCCCCACTACACATGTCATACGTACATATATGATGGATGTAAGTCCCTGAAATCGGTTTGTCGTTGGCAGACAAAACATTGAGCCTAAGACATGCACAGAAAATAAGACACATTGTGCTAAAACAGATCTTTTACCAGCAATTCATTAAAACATTTCCTGAATTTGCTTGTTTACATAAAGAATTCTTTATTTTGATGAAAAAAGGAAACACACCCTTTGTACGTTAACAAAGGCAATCAGTCGGGCATACTTCCTGATCGGGAAACAAGGGGATTTCCCCTCAAGGTTTCCCGATCAGGCAACAAACGTCAAAATCTTTCCCGATCGGGAAGTTTTTTAGGCCTTTTTTATGTAGTTTAAGAAAAATGGCCGGTGCATAACAATTTTCAATCCACTTCAATATGAATATTACATTTTAGTTCAGAAAAGATACAACTAAAATCCTACCGAGTCATTTTCTTTTTAAATGTTTACAATTTAAATAATCTGAAAGTGAACTTAAGTAAAGTTTTTAGATTTTACCAAAAACTAGCCACTTCCCGTTTTGGGAACATTGCTTCCTGATCAGGCATCTAGCAAAATATTCATCATTAAAAGTTTAAGATACATTGCTTCCCGATCTGGAAGTACTTTATATTTGTTGTAGTACCTGGCCTTGATGATTAGAAATTGCCAAGCCTGGTCAGTTTTTAAAGACATGTGGCACATAATTCAATCACGACGAGTAGAATATATCTGGCGAAACTTATGTTCTTGTTAGGCGTAATAATACCTATCAAAACATTAGCTATACTTGACGGACAGTACAAAAATCATTATTACAATACAAAAGTTTCATACTGTTAAGATTGTAAAGCACATGTTGAACAACATTGCATAGAGTGTAATTTCTCAAAACAATTACCATGCAGCTCAAATAATTCAAATGTTGACTAGAGCTCACATATATATTTTTTTTGGCTATAGCTCAAGACGTGTTTGCATACTTCATGTGTTTGTAGTGACTGTGTCATATTTCTGAAACTAAAGTGTATAAAGCAATATCTGATGCAAAAATTATTGTTAAAATTTTTAAAAAGTATACTTCCAAAATGATTGTATGAAATAAATATGGTAATTTATTGCCTTAAACGCGAATGGCGCAAGCACAAAATCATTGCTAATCGGATAAAACCCTACTTAATATAGCAAAACAGTATTGTGTTCCTGTTTACTTACAAGATTCATTTGTATTTAATAACAGTGATATTCTATGTTACATTACTTTTTCAGGAGTCAACCATATAATAATGGAACCAGCATAATTTGCTGTTAATAAATATTTAAATATTTCGTAAGATATAGAACATACCCTTTAAGCCACTTTAATTTTAAAAAATGAATAAAATATAAGATAAAATAAATAAATAAAACAAGAAATGTCATTATGACATATATGCCCCCCCCCCTTTCTAGCTGAAATTGAATGAAATCTATCATTATTAAGTTAAACAAAATGGAGAGTAGCTGGAATAAATTATATACTATCATGTAAATGTAACTAGGAGCATCTACTTTGAACATTCAAGGTTATTGTAACCTTGTCATCTGACCTAGTGACCTCAAAATCAAGAGGGGCCATCTACTAGTTATGAACAATTAAAATGTGAAACACAAAAACTTGATAACGGGTAGTTTTGAAGATAATGAGTAGAAACCATTCTGACATTTAACGTCCTTGTGACCTTTGACCTAAAGACCTAAAAATCGACAGGGGTCATCTACTAATTATAATCAATCAATAAGTGGAATATAAAAGGTTTAGTGATAAATAGTTCTCAAATAATGGTTAATAGTTTTCAAAATAATGAACGCAAACCATTCTGACATTTAAGGACCCTGATACCTTTAAACTGGTGACCCCAAAATCAATAAGGGTCATTTACCACATTTGACTTATCAACACATGAAATAGGAAAACTTTGTGAAAAATACTTTTCAAGATATTGTGCGGATACTATTTTGACATTCAAGTCACTGTGACCTTGACCTTTGACCTAGTGACTCCAAAATCAAAAAGGGTCATCTTCTAGTTATGACCAATCAATATGTGAAATATAAAGACTTTCTAATAAATAGTTTTCAAGATAATGAGCGGAAACCATTCCGAAATTTAAAACACCTGCAACTTTGACCTTTAAGCTAGTTACCCCAAAATCAATATAGGTTATCTAATAGTTATGACCAATCAATATATGAAATATGAAGCCTTTTTGATAAATAGCTTTTAAGATAATCAGCAGAAACAATGTGGTCTAACGACGAATAAACAAACATACTTAAGGTCCCTGTGACCTTGACCATTGACCTAAAGACCCAAAAATCGATAGGGTCATCTACTACTTACGACCAATCAATATGTGAAATATAATGACTTAGTGATAGATAGTTTTAAAGATAATGAGCTTAAACCATTCCGACATTTAAGGCCCCTGTGACCTTGACCTTTGAACTAGTGACCACAAAATCATAGGTGTCATCTACTACATATGACTAATTAATTTGGAAATATAAAGACTTTGTGAGAAATAGTTATCAAGATAATGAGCGGAAACCATTCTGACATTTAGGGTCCCTGTGACCTTGACCTTTGACAAAGTGACCCTGAAATCAATAGGTTTCATCTACTATAGTTATGACCAATTAGTATGTAAAATATGAAGACTCTGTGATAAATAGTTTTTAAGATAATAACTGAGGTCTACCGATGGACTGACCGACCAACATTAACATAACATAACATATTTTGTTTTCAACATAAAATTGTATACATACAATTTATAGTCATACAGATATTGTGTGGACATTAGCAAATCAATATACCCGCTCTTCTTCGAAGTGGGGCATAATAAAAATAACTAGGGTCGGGAACGAATAAGAACTAACATTGATGTTCGAATATTCCATTTTCCATATTTGAATATATTTAAATATTCATTTTTACAAAATTTGAGAAGACACCGCTCTTGAATGATGCTATCATTTGTATCTGAACTGCTAGACACTTCAGACTTCAAAACATTTACACACACACCATGACTCACATGTTGATTTGTTGCACAGATAACTTTATTTGTTGGTGTTGTCCCAAGCAATAATTCCAGAATAGAACGCGCTAACTTAAAGAAGAAAACTTCACAAACGGGAAACATTTAATGGTGAATATTATGAAACAGTGTTTCCAAAACGGGAAGCCGCTACTTCTTAGTAAAATCGTAAAACTTCACTCAAATTCACTTTCAGATAATTTTAGTTTTAGGCATTTCAAAAGAAAATGACTCGGTAGGATTTTAGATGTATCTTTTCTGCACTTAAATGTGATGTTCATATTGAAGTGGGTTGAAAACTATTATGCACCGGCCATTTTTCCTGAACTACGTAAAAATAGGCCAAAAAACTTCCCGATCGGGAAGGATTTTGACGTTTACTGCCTGATCGGGAAGCCTTGAAGGGGAATCCCCTTGTTTCCCGATCAGGAAGTATACCCGACTGGCAATATATGTATCTTCAACCTTGTAACACATTCTTTCTAACAGCTTAAAGATTCTTGACATAAAGTTGACATAATTATGGGAGTACTTACAAGTAAAAACACCGACAATTTTAATCAGGATCCTAAGTAAAAAGGAAAAGGTTATATAAAGTATGTATTGTACAGTAGTGGTAAGTATTTATTAGCATTGCCTTTGTGTACCAAAACCTATCGGTTCTCATTTAAGGCAGACCGGGGATCGTCGAAAACCGGAGACCGTCAAATGCGCAAAATTAATTTAATGGTTTAATGCCTAAATGTACTTCGCTTCACAGAGATCAAGAAAAATGTTAAAAATGTTGCCAGTTCAGTTCTTAAAAAACGCAATTTCATCAGGATTGAATAATCGACAGTATGTCATGCCAAAATGCTTAAAGGTACATTTTTTTGGTTGAAAGTGAGAATTAAAACTAGAAATATAATTCAATTTTAGAGCTAGAGTAACGGTAATATAACGATTCGCCCCCATAACGACTCGCCCCATTTTACTGACTATTTAGTCAAAATATATTGACGTGCCAAAGCTTGATTCTGAGATATTTTCGTTCTGGGGCAGAATCTCGCTTTAACCGAGATATTGCCCAGACACGAAAATAGCACAATATCTCGTCGCGCAGTACAATTAGTTGGACTACTGACTATTCGACCCCGGTACAAGTCAACCCGGCCTCAAGTCAACCCGGCCCTAAGTCAACCCGGCCCCAAAATTGGTCAACCTGGCCCCAAAATTGGTCAATCCGGCCCCACGGTATTTTTATTTGGTCAACCCGGCCCCAAAATTGGTCAGTGCGGCCCCAAAATTGGTCATTCCGGCCCCAAAATATATTTTTTTCAAAGAAAACTTTTTAAGTCATTTTGTTGTATGATGGAATAAAAATGATTTATTATTAATTGAAGATTATTAACTATAGAACAATAGTAACAAAAAGTGTCGGTAAATTAAATTGCGCCGATTAAGTCTTTTATACGCAATATTGATGAATTATTATATAACATCAACAATTATATGTACATCAACATTAATTCAGATGTGATAATCAAAACAGTTTAAAGCAATCAATTAACAAAAAAGGTATAGCTGTGAAAACAAATTCTTTTAATAAGTTGGTAGTATCTTTCATGTCTTTATTCGATGTAAATTAAAGATGGTTTCGTGAGTGTTAATGCGATAATTAGGAAGAAATGCATAGAATTTCGAGTTAAAAGGTTTGTATAAACATAGTTTCCAACAATATTTTTTCAATGAATTTGAATGTTTTTATTGAATACGTTCATTATTATAATTAATATTTGTTTCGTTTTTTATTAACTTATTTTCAAAGAATATTTACTGTGGAAAAAAGTATTGGAATATTACTAAGTGTTTGGAAAATTGATAGTGTTTTGTGTTTAATCACTTTATGTCATAAATAAAAAAGTATGCAATTGAATGTATGAAAATTATTATTTTTTTATATTATTTTGTGTGATTCTTATAAATGGTTACAAACTTTTTTACAGGCTAAAGAGGTTGCCGCAATCCATGTCATGAAATCTGCTGCTTCTATCGTCTCATTGAACTTTTGTTTTTGTTGTTAATTTTTATCTTATTTCTTGATAAGTGTTTACATTTTAAAGCAAAATAAATAATAAAAAAAAATGGGGCCGGGTTGACCAGAAATAAAATTGTTTTGGGGCCGGGTTGACCAATTTGGGGCCGGGCTGACTTGGGGACGGGTTGACTTGGGGCCGGGTTGACTGTAATTCATTCGACCCAGTTAATTGACGATTCGCGCAGCTTTATATATAAAGTTTGATTGAAAAATATTCTTGGTGTGTATTTTGCATTCATTTGTAATATATTTATAGATAACATATAAAAGCGTCATTCAATCTGGGAAAAGCATAAACCCTTTTAAGTCTTGTGAAACTGTCATGGCCTCTTAAAATAAAGGACCTAAGGCTATTAATCCAAAACCTCTTTAAATACCTTTGGAATTTTACTGTTAAGTTTAAGTAATGAATCTCATAGCAATTTTTTCATATATTTTCGCTCTAGGCATTGTCACAGGCACGAGTATCGGACCTGGGAAGAAAAAATATTACCAGACTGTTAAAAAAAAACCTGTGTTCATCTTAAAAGTGTCAAAAAACCAAAAAAATGTAAATAATGACCCCCTTTAAAAATATACTATAAGTTAAGAGAAGGCCGGAAACTCAAGATTCAAGCCTACGAGCAAGGGATTCATTTCCCGGGCCGTTGTGAAAACAATTGGCCAGACAATTAAAAAACACTTTTATCACTAATTCACGTTTATATTAAGCTTCAAAATGAGACCAACCCCAAGTCTTTAGCCCTTCCCGTTCTTGAAATATCTATCAGGAAACGAGCGAATTCCTGCTAAAAATCCTTGGTAGACAGAATTGCGGCACAACAATTCGGTACGTAAACATAGACTAATACATGTATGCCAGCTGACTACGGGTCAAAATTACTTGAATTTACTAAATAATATTACTAAATACATTAAGTTGGACCACTCACAACCGTCAGTAGCATCTGATACACACAAGATTCCAGTTTCAAACATTTATACGGTCTTTCAATCGCTTTCTACGCCATTAGGCATCCTTGTGTGAAACGTTGCGGTTTTCGTTGCTATTGGCCAATCAGAAGACTCGTTACAAAATATCGAACAGCTGATTGACAATGGCGTAGAAAGTAATCTAACGACAGTGGAAAGGTTCGAAATTCGAATTGTGCATGTATCAGATGCTTCTGACGGTTGTGAGTGGTCCAACTTAATGTATTTAGTAATATTATTTAGTAAATTCAAGTAATTTTGACCCGTAGTCAGCTGACATACATGTATTAGTCTATGTTTACGTACCGAATTGTTGTGCGCAATTCTGTCTACCAAGGATTTTTAGCACGAATTCGCTCGTTTCCTGATAGATATTTCATGAACGGGAAGGGCTAGAGACTTTGGGTTGGTCTCATTTTGAAGTTTAATATAAACGTCAATTAGTGATAAAATTTTTTTTTAATTGTCTGGCCAATTGTTTCACAACGGCCCGGGAAATGAATCCCTTGCTCGTAGGCTCGAATCTGGAGTTTCCGGCCTTCTCTTAACTTATAGTATATTTTTAAAGGGGGTCATTATTTACATTTTTTTCTGTTTTTTTTTGACACTCTTAAGATGAACACAAGTTATTTTATCAATCTGGTCATATTTTTTCTTCCCAGGTCCGATACTCGTGCCTGTGGGCATTGTTTTCATTTGGCAGCAGCAGACATGTCTAATATGAAATTAGGCAAAGCCTATGAACGGGAAAGTCTGTAAAAAAAGTTTTTTCGTTTTAAAGGTGTCATTCTGTATTATATGCACGACTTCCGTTTTTCACTCGGAATACTCGACGATTATCATTTATCTGAGAAGTTGCGATTGTCCATTATCAGAATATCCCGCCTATTATCGAATTACATTGAAAATGGCGCCACCCAACTAGAACTGACACTGAAAATTTCATTGATAGGTATAGAATTCTATGTATTCTGTAATTGTTTTTTATTTGATTTTCTTTTAAATATACTCATGTAGTCTATAGCTGGGCAAGCCAAACCCTGGGCCCACTTCACGGACCCAGCCTTTGACTTCCTGTTTAAGAAACTAAGCTTTTACATTAGTTGATTATATCATAGGAATTAGGATCTTTTAGTGATAAATAAACAGCTTATTAGTGAAAGGTTGAGATTACTTTAGGTGTGACAATATGTACTTATACAATATTACTCATAGAGGTATTGTGCTATTTTGTGTATGGGCAATATCTCCCCCCAAAATTTTTTTCTCAGAATCTAGCTTTTGCACATCAAAAATATTTTGACTATAACAGACTAATCACATATGTTTATCTTGTACTTTTATTATGCTCCCCAAAGAGTAGGTGTGCAGTGCACAAGAACCCTAACTCTGCCTTGCCTCTATCCAGCTAGCTTACGGTACGTTGGTGGTTCTACTCAGGTGCCCGTTTGTGCCTGAAATATTGCACGGAAGGGCACCTGAGGTCTTCCTCCACCAGTAAAGCTTGAACATCGCGATATGACCTATACTGTGTCAATGTAGAGGTAAAATCCAAAACAAACAAAAACAAACAAACTGCTTTGCCTAATTTTTGAATTATTGCCCTTTGTTTTTAGCTCACCTGTCACAAAGTGACAGGGTGAGCTTTTGTGATCGCTTTTTGTCCGGCGTCCGTCCGTCCGGCGTCCGTCCGTAAACTTTTACTTTAAATGACATCTCCTCATAAACCACTAAGCCAATTTCATCCAAACTTCACAGGAATGTTCCTTTGGTGGTCACCTTTAAAAATTGTTCAAAGAATTTAATTCCATGCAGAACTCTGGTTGCCATGGCAACCGAAAGAAAAAACTTTAAATATCTTCTTTTAAAAAACCATAAGAGCTAGAGCTTAGATATTAGGCATGAAACATCTTCTAGTGAGTGTCTACCAAGTTTGTTCAAATAAAAGCCCTGGGGTCAAAATTGGCCCCGCCCTGGGGGGTCATTGATTTTCCCTTTATGCATATAGTAAAAACTTAAAAAATCTTCTTTTAAAGAACTCAAAGAGCTATGGCTAAGATATTGAGCATCAAACATGTTCTAATAGGTGTCTACCAAGTTTGTTCAAATAAAAGCCCTGGGGTCAAAATTGGCCCCGCCCCAGGGGGTCATTGATTTTCCCTATATGCATATAGTAAAAACTTAAAAAATCTTCTTTTAAAGAACCCAAAGAGCTAGAGCTAAGATATTTAGGATGAAACATGTTCTAATTAATGTCTACCAAGTTTGTTCAAATAAAAGCCCTGGGGTCAAAATTGGCCCCGCCCCGGGGGGTCATTGATTTTCCCTATATGCATTTAGTAAAAACTTAAAAAATCTTCTTTTAAAGAACTCAAAGAGCTATGGCTAAGATATTTAGCACCAAACATGTTCTAATAGGTGTCTTCCAAGTTCAAATAAAAGCCCTGGGGTCAATATTGGCACCACCCCGGGGGTCATTGATTTTCCTTATAGGTGTATAGCAAAAACTTAAAAAATCTTCTTTGAAAAAACCCAAATAGCTAGAGTTAAGATATTAAGCATGAAACATCTTTTAGTGAGTGTCTACAAAGTTTGTTCAAATAAAAGACCTGGGGTCAAAATTGGCCCCGCCCCGGGTGTCATTGATTTTCCTCATATGTGTATAGCAAAAACTTAAAATCTTCTTTGAAAAAACCCAAATAGCTAGAGTTTAGATATTAAGCATGAAACATCTTCTAGTAAGTGTCTACAAAGTTTGTTCAAATAAAAGCCCTGGGGTATAGTAAAAACTTAAAAAAAATCTTCTTTTAAAAAGCCCAATGAGCTAGAGCTTAGATGTTTGGCATGAAACATCTTCTTATGGGTGTCTACAAAGTTTGTGCAAATAAAAGCCCTTGGGTTAAAATTGGCCCTGCAACGTTGGGGGGGGGGGCTATATACAGGTGAGCGACCTCAGGGCCATCATGGCCCTCTTGTTATTTATTTTTACACTTTGAACTTTCAGGGACATAACTCTAAAACTTTAAGAGGTATCAACATGATACTTTGTAGGTAGATAGATCTCATTGAGTAGGTTTGCAGTGCACAAGAACTGTTACTCTACCTTGCCTAATACTTCAATTATTGCCCAGTGATTTTTTTACAAACTCATCAGTGTGGGTTCTAGGACTTGCTGGGCTATAAGTCTATGAGTCCCAAAATTCAGCCGACTAATCCAAGTTACAAGGCTTAAGTCAAAAGCATTCTTTTACTTGGGGACCATACACTGCTTTTCATGGAATGGCGCTACTGTTTCACCAGTTTCATGTTAAATGTTGAATTCTGCTTAAGCCGGTGCTAGGGGGTGTGGACGGTAACTTGCACTTTCCAGTACAGTCCATGAACAGGCTCAATCAAACCGAGCCTGCAACATTTTCAATTTTGTTGTGTTGGACTCTCTTTAGGGATTCTGTTTTTCTCTATTTTAATATTGCTTTCGTGATATAAAAGGTATATTAACAATGGAATAAAGAAAAAATAAATTTGATTTCTACATTAATTACAATGCTTCTGATACTGAAATTTAAAACTGTCAAATGAATTTAGTAAGTTTATTTCCATTAATTTAGTTTGAGATTAATCAAAACTTCTTTTTCCTTAATATTTTTATGCTTATCTATAGTAAAGCACATTATTAAATTTATTTCTTATCTGTAGAAGATTTGCAGACCTAGAATATGATTGACATACTTTGAACACAATTTGGTATTTATTACCAAATTCCTGTCAGACAGGACTCCCTACTCAGAAAAAGTAATGCATCCAAAAGATGCACATTATTTGAAACTTTGCATCCACAGCAAATTCAATGAGTCCTGGACTCGGGATGCAGAGGTAAAAAAATCACTGATTGCCCTTTGTTTATTTTTACACTTTGAACTTTGTCTGGGACATAACTCTAAAACTATAAGAGTTATTAACATGAAACTTTGCAGATAGATAGATCTAATTGAGTAGGTTTGCAGTGCACAAAAACCATAACTCTGCCATGCCTAATTTTTGAATTATTGCCCCTTTGTTTATTTTTACTTTTTGAACTTATGTCTGGGACATAACTCTAAAAGTGTAAGAGATATCAACATGAAACTTTGTAGGTAAATGGATCTCATTGAGTAGAAGTGCATTGTTAAAGAACCATGATTCTGACTAACCTAATTTTGGAGTTATTGCCTATAGTTCATTTTGACACTTTGAACTTTGTCCGGCACATTACTCTAAAATTATAAGAGATATCAACATGAAACTTTGTAGGTAGATAGGTCTCATTGGGTAGAAGTGCAGTGCTAAAGAACCATAACCCTGCCTTGCCTTATTTTGAAGTTATTGCCCTTTGTTTTATTTTTACTTTTTTACTTTTGCCCCGGGACATAACTCTTAAACTTAGTGATATCAACATGAAACTTTGTAGGTAGATAGATCTCATTGGCTAGAACTGCAGTTCTAAAGAACCTAAACACAGACTCGTCTAATTTTGGAGTTATTGGCCTTTGTTTTTTTTTACACTTTGAATATTACCTGGGACATAACTCTGAAACTATAAGAGATATCATCACGAAACTTTATGGATATATAGATTTCATTGAATAGAAGTGCAGTGCAAAAAATCATAATTCTGCCTTGCTTAATTTTGGAGTTTTTGCCCTTTGTTAATTTTTTTTAACTTTCCTGTGTCCAAAACATTCTCAGGGAACGTCACAGGGTTCAATCGGTTCTTGTATTATGTTGTTTGCTAAAATTTATTATACACCCACAAAAATTGGGGGGTGGGGGGGGTATATAGAAGTCAGGTTGTCGGTTGGTCAGTCCACATCATGGTTTCAAGGTGATAACTAGAGTTTGGAATGAAGTATTTTAATTAAACTTGGTAAATCTCAACCTTATGTGGAGACCCTGGTTAGTATTGCATTTGGACCCCCCTTTCCCCCCTTAGAGGTTAAGGTCATTGTTACAAAAAATAGAAAAATGGTTTATGGACAAGAACTAGAGTTAGGAATGAGATTTTGTAATCAAACTTGGTGTATAGCAAACTTATATGATATGTTTGGTATTGCATTTGGACCCCCTGGGATCAAGGTAAAGGGCACTGTTATTGAAAATAGAATAGAAAAATGTTTTTCAAACAATAACTGGAGTTAGGAATTAGATTTTGTACTAAAACTTTGTGTATAGCAAGCTTATATGAAGACCCTGGTTGGTACTGCATTTGGACCCTCTGTAGTCAAGGTAAAGGTCGCCTTAACTAAAAATAGAAAAATGGTTTCCAGACAATATCAGACCCTGGTTGGTACTGCATTTGGATCCCTTGGGGGTCAAGGGAAAGATCACTGTTACTAAAAATAGAAAAATGGTTTCTGGACAATAACTAGAGTTAGGAATAAGATTTTGTAATCAAACTTGGTGTATAGCAAGCTTATATGAAGACCCTTGTAGGGATTGCAATTTATTTAAGTTTAAACTCTTTGTACACAGTTGATACTCTATTTACTCTATGTTGAGTTCAAATTTTTCTTCAGACCATTTATTTTTCAAAAAGCCAGAGTTGCTAATGGGGGTATTAATCACCTTCAGAAGTTATTTATAAAGTAACTGAAAGCCTTTATGTAGGCTTTGCATTGGATACCACCAAATGGAAAATAAAATCTTTTATAGCAAATACAAAGAATATACATGTATGTCTCACCAAAACTTTTTTGAAAGAAAATAATGAATAACATGGTGCCATGATGAAAATAGAAGTGAGGGGAAAAATCACTGTGCTGGGGCAAATCATTATCAGTTCTAAAATTGATAACCCAACAGTCATTTTCAATTTCTGTTCTTAAAGAGTACATATTGTATTTGGAATATCCTGAAACAAACTTTTAATGTTATCATTTCTCAATGTTGATAATTTAAAGGACATTTTAAATGATTGTTTTGAAGTAGGCGAATCATCACTTATATGGGGTGAGTCGTCACTAAAGTGAGCTGAGTCACCAGTGTGACAAATTGTTGTCAATTTGCTATGATTCAAGAACATTTCAGACAAGATTTCTAGATTTTGGGACCATGATGGGGACAGTTCACTCCAGAACTTAGTATTTTTTAGTGGACCATTAAGTACAGTGGTTTTTTTTTATAATTATCATTTCAAAACCAGCTTTTTAAATTTTCTTTCCAGCTTCTGTTATGGGTGTTTTTTGTTAAAAATTATCCAGTAAAATATTTATAATAGTATGAATTTCTTTACTGGCATGCAAGTAGTTCCCGTATAAATATCAGAGTTACTTAAAATACTCCCTCACCAAAAAATTGATTGTTACACATTAAGACAATATCGGCTTGTTACACAAATCATAGAAATCCCTGTAATTAAGTTTTTCAGTTGATTTATCATTTTGCATTTCAACAGAAAGTCACTAGTGCAAAAAACGCAAAATTCTTACCCTGATATCTGAACTTGCTGTCCTGTGAATGCCAATATCTTTCATACTTAGTAGGTACATACCTTGACTGATCTTCAAACTTTAGGTTTGGGTCATTGGGATGATGGTTACTGGTGCTTATAAAATATTTAACGCTTTTGCTTATACATTTACAGATTAATGTCTTTCATAGTTTATAGGAACAAACATTGTTGGTCATCTACCCTTAGATAGAGTAAAGGGTCTCTGGTCTAGTCTAGTGCTGAAAATAGATTTACACACTTTTCTTATACATGAACTTTAGTTTATTTATTGACTGATGTCTCATATTTAGTAAGTACATAACTAAAGAAATCGCAGTAATTGCAATTATATTATTTGTTTTGTTTTTCAGAGATGTTACTGTGCACCAACCTCAGCAACAAATGAAGTAGTAGAAAAACCCAAACCAACGGAAAGTGAGAGTGACGAAGCTGTTGTGGAAGTGATTTCACAAAAACGTAGCAAACATATCATATTAAAATTTTTTAATAATTGTGACCATGTGACACTGAATAAACTGCTTTCTTATAAAGTGACTTTTTTCAAGAACTATATTTTTCGTGAGTTTATGACACCAAATGCAGGTAACAGATTTCATGGCATTGAAGATTTTGTCGTAAAAACAGGGGTGCATGAAAAAAAATTAAATGAACTAGCAAAGATCATTTTAATGTTTGAAAAGTTTGAAAACACTAAAACTGGAATGAAATTTTTTCATCCGCCATTTTTGTGGAAAGATCTAGAGGTAGGTTATTAGTTATTATATTACTTAAGTTATATAAGCATTATAATCTCTTTATGTTTTGCCAATATTTTGATTCATTTATGTGTGTTTAAATAAAATTTTACATAGTGATGCAGAGATAAGATATGTTTATATAGTATAAGATGATAGATGATTTATACCTAAATGAAAAACTTAATTTTTTAGTAAGTGAGCTTGATGTCTTGATGTTTATATGTATGTCCTTATACAGTTTTGGTCTACCTCTTGGCATGTTAGATTTTCTGTAAGCGCTTCTTGTACCATTTGCTTCAAAATTTTAAATTAACATAGACCAAATAATCATCACCATGACATGATTTGCATACAATGTGCAGAGCGCATCAGCCAGGAATACCGCTGAAGGTCAAGAATGGTCAAATGTAAAGAAATCTACATTCTTGCCCATTGTGGCAGGGTATAACGCTGCCCTTCAGACTGTTTTATTATTATCAGTAATGAATTATTTTATTGTATTTTAGAATTTAGATAAGGTAGTGGCATTGGATGTATTTCACAAAGAGTTTGCATGGTGTGAACGTAATACAAGAGATGGTTATATTACTGATATAGGCTTCGAGAAGTTGTACTTAAAAGATTCCTATGATCATTTGACTTATCACTATCAGGTATAAAATCTTCCAAATCTTAACATCTGGCCCCGTGTTCACAAAGATTTAAGGATCAAGATCAGGATCAAATTTAAAAACTAAAATATTCTCCATTGTTTATAATTAAAGATTAAATATTTAATGTTAACTTAAAATAGGATGTTTATGAAATTTTAGAATAAATTTATTGTTATTTTTGCAAGATACAAGCATTTTACAGTTGATCCAAATATTGATCTTGATCCTAAAATTGTTCCTTATTTTGATCTGATTATTTTTTGTTATGCCCCCCTTCGAAGAAGATGGGTATATTGTTTTGCTAATGTCGGTCCGTCGGTCTGTCTGTCGGTAGATCACATGGTTTCCACTGATTATCTTAAAAACTATTTATCACTAAGTCTTCATATTTCACATAGTGATTGGTCATAACTAGTTGATGACCCCTATTGATTTTGGGGTCACTAGGTAAAAGGTCAAGGTCACAGGGGCCTTAAATGTCAGAATGGTTTCCGCTGATTATCTTGGAAACTATGTATCACAAAGTCATCATATTTCACATAGTGATTGGCCATAACTAGTAGATGACCCCTATTGGTTTTTTGGGTCACTGTGTCAAAGGTTAAGGTCACAGGGGCATTGAATGGTAGTATGAATTCAACTTATTATCTTGGTTACTATGTATCACAAAGTCATCATATTTCACATATTGATTTGTCATAACTAGTAGATGACCCCTAATGAATTTGGGGTCACCAGGTCAAAGGTCAAGGTCACAGGGGCCATAAATATTAGAATGTTTTCCGCTCACTATCTTGCTTACTTTTTATCACAAAGTCTTCATATTTCACATATTGATTAGTGATAACTAGTAGATGACCCTATTGATTTTGGGGTCAAAGGTCAAGGTCACAGTGTACTTGAATGGAAGTATGATTTCAGGTCATTATCTTGTAAGCATATTATCACAAAGTCTTCATATTTCACATAGTGATTGGTCATTACCAGTAGCAAACTCCTCACAGTGATTACCTCCCTTGGCAGAATTGTAATCACTGCCTTCAAAGACGTCACATGATGATGAAAGTCACATGACGTAACGTCGAAATTCAAATGTAAATATCGACCGTTACAAAGAAAATCTAACGTTATTTTTCTCTTTCTGTTTTATTTTTAACTTTTAGTGCCTACGTTCGATATAGTTTATCAAAAAATTATCGAAAGTATACAAAATAACGAAAAATAAATTCAAAAGCTAAAAAATATAAAATATCAAAATATCGTCTCGGTAGAAAATAATCTCATAATTTTTAAAATTATTTCTAAATACTCATATTATTTATTTATTTATTCATAAACATTGTTAAATAAATGAGAGAAAACTTTTCTGATAGATAAAAGCAGTAGATAAAACAATTTTTGAAAAAATATAGTATATCAGAAATTCTGATATATCGGGACCTTGGTGGCAGAGATCTACGCCGAAGAATTAAGGGGAGATCACTGTGTGGAGATTGAACCAGTAGATGACCCGTACTGCTTTTGGGGTCACTAGTTCAAAGGTCACAGGGACCTTAAATGTCAGAATTATTTACACTTATTATCTTGAAAACTATTTATCACAAAGTCTTCATATTTCACATACTGATTGGTCATAACTAGTATTTAGTGACCCCCTATTGATTTTGGGGTCACTAGGTCAAAGGTCAATTTCACAGGGTCCTTGAAATTTAGTATGGTTTCCACTGATTATCTTGAAAGCCATTTATCACAAAGTCTTCATATTTCTAATATTTATTTGTCATAACTATTCGATGACCCCTATTGATTTTGGGTCACTAGTTCAAAGGTCAAGGTCACAGGGGCCTTGAATGTCAGAATGGTTTCCGCTCATTATCTTGAAAACTATTTATTACAAAGTCTTCATTATTTTTCTTTTTTTCCATAACTGAACACTTTTATGTACCCATTAATGGCAAGTTTCTATAACAAAATAACTAATAATGTGAGTCAAGGGCTAGAAAGGGGGCATATATGTCGTTCGACATTTCTTGTTTTTCTTTGATTTTATCCCAAATAAGGTTGAGTTTTTTTTTGCAAATCAGCATTTTTTTTCATTTTGAATATGTACAATTTGATTCTAGCAAAATACGATAAGTTTTAGTTTTATAAAAAAGTTTAAGTTTTATAAAACAATGAAAATAAAATCATTTGATCCTGATCCTTATCTTTTCTTTGTGAACATGGGGGAGAAGCTTTTGTGATTGAAGATGTCATTCATGAATCATTATCCACAATTTCTTGAACAATATCTGAGCTCTTAAACAAGAAGGAAGATACATGTATTGACCAAACTTCTTATGCATGATTTTAAGCTGGTTTTCTGATTTGTGTAACATTTCGAATCTGAACTGGAAAATATATATTAAAAATGAAAATTTAAAAACCTTCTTAAGAAAATACAATGCCCAGAGCTTAGGTATTTGGCATACATGAAGCATTGTCATTTACAAAAGTTACATAAATCATGCCCAGGAAGTGTCATAAGTAGGCCCACTCTTAGAGTCACATGTAAGTCTTCTAGAGTGAAAATTTCACATGCAAGAGCTTGAATATTTGGCATGTACAGTTTCCTTGTGGACTTGATTTTAAAGCAGTTTAACTAAAGGACGTTCTGACTGCTAGAGAATATAAATGAGAAAGATAAGGTGCTAAAAATTGCAATGAAACATAAAAAAAATGAGTAAAAAAGAACAACAATTGATAGCTAACTTCAACATATAATACTTGAAGTTACTTTTGTATTCAACATCAAATAATTTGTAGTTCTTTGTTATAAGTATGTAAGTAATTATAAAACATGATGAAAAGTCTTCATTATTACATAGAAATTCATCAAAAAAGTTCTTCACTTGCCACATTTACTTCTGAATTAAAATTTAAAGAAAGTTTATAGTTCATTCTATGCTGTTTGTGTTTTCAGATACGAAAGTTTCTGGAGAGGATTCCGGAATCTCAAGTTTATTTACTTCGTACAAGCTCTGCTCGTAACAAGGTTGTATCCAGGCAGGGCAGTAGATATGCAGTCCATCAAGCAGTTGTAGAAAGTCTTGTCATAACAATGCTCAATGAAAGGCATCAACCAATTAGCTTATTAGATTCTGTACATCGTCCTGACACTAAAAATGAGTCTGCTGAACAGAAAAACGACAAAACAGGAGAGATAGAGAATCGTGTTTATTTATTTGAACCAGTAGCTTTGAAAGATTTTTACGATGTTACTTTCCAAAAAGAATTATTGGCTGTCTCTGATTTGTTTAAAGACTGGTATTACCAGAAGCATCCAAATATACAAAATTGGGGTTTAAACACTCCAAAAAGGAAAGACTTGTTCATGAATCAAGGTGGAGGACAAGTATCTGTTTGTGCCTTAGTAACAGATGTTTTCTGTAGAACTTTGAAGAAAAGAGATAGGTCATTTCCTCGTGCATATACAAGTAAAACATTAGAAAAATACCTAGAAGATTGAACGATAAACAAACATACCAGTATGTACATTGTACAGGTATAGCTGCATTTATTAACAATAAATTCATTAGTGTACTTATAGTGTAATGCAGGTGCATGACTCCAATATGTTAAATGAAAAAAAAAATGTAGTAATGATTTTTAGCTCGACTAAACGAAGTATATGGAGAGCTGTCCTACTTGCCCCGGCGTCGGCGTCCGCGTCCAGATTTTAGATTAAAGTTTTGGTGCAGTAAAATATTTTTCACTATAACTTTGTCATTTCTTAAGATATCAACTTCAAACTTCCAATATATGTTCCTTATCATCAACCACATTTTATGTGACAAGGTTCATAACTCTAGCACCAATATTTTCAGATTTATCTCCCCTTGAACTTAGAATTTTCCTTAAAAAATACTATTTTTTACTGTTACTTCTTTATTTCTTAAGGGATCACCTCATACTTTTAATATATGTACCTTATCATCATCCCCATCTTATGTTTTAAGGTTCATAACTCTAGCACCAATATTTTCAGATTTATCTCCCCTTGAACTTAGAATTTTCCTCAAAAAATACTATTTCTTACTGTTTCTTCTTAATTTCTTAAGGGATCAACCTCATACTTCAAATATATTTACGTTATCATCATCCCCATCTTATGTGACAAGGTTCATAACTCTAGCACCAATATTTTCAGATTTATCTCCCTTTGAACTTAGAATTTTCCATAAAAAATATTATTTTTTACTGTTACTTATTTATTTCTAAAGGGATCAACTTCATACTTCAAATATATTTACGTTATCATCATCCACATCTTATGTGACAAGGTTCATAACTCTAGCACCAATATTGCAAGAATTATCTCCCCATAAACTTAGATTTTTTTAACTAGAAAAATGTTATTTTTTATAATGATTTTTTTATTTTTCAAGGTATCTACATCAAACTTCAAATACTTATTCCTTATCATCAATTACATTTAATGTGACAATGTTCATAACTCTTGAAGCAATATTTACAGATTTATCTCTCTTTGAACTTAGGATTTTCTTTAAGAAATATAATAACTTCTTTACTTTTTAAGGTATCTACTTCAAACTTCAAATATATATTTCTAATCATTACACAAATGTTGTGCGACAAGGTCCATAACTCTAGCATGACTATTTCTAGAATTATTCCCCTTGATCTTGGAATTAATGTTAACAAATGAGCCGTGTCATGACAAAACCAACATAATGCGTTTGCGACCAGAATGGATCCAGACCAGCCTGCGCATCCACGCAGTCTGATCAGGATCCATGCTGTTCGCTATCAGTTCCTCTACTTGTAATAGAGTTGGTTAGCGAACAGCATGGATCCTGATCAGACTGCGCGGAAGCGCAGGCTGGTCTGGATCCATGCTGGTTGCAAACCCATTATGTTGGTTTTGTCGTGACACGGCTCAAATGTTATTTTTTTACTATAATTTAATACATAATTATACATAATTATGCCCCCATTTCGAAGAAAAGGGGGTATATTGCTTTGCACTTTTCGGTCCGTCGGTCCGTAGACCAAATGGTTTCCGAGTGATAACTAAAGAACCCTTAGGCCTAGGAACTTCAAACTTGGTATGGTGATTGGTCATGACCAGTAGATGACCCCTATTGATTTTGGGGTCAAGGGGTCAAAGGTCAAGGTCACATTGACCTTGAAAGCAAAAACGGTTTCCGATCAATAACTAAAGAACCTTAGGGCTAGGAACTTCAAACTTGGTATGGTGATTGGTCATGACCAGTAGATGACCCCTATTGATTTTGGGGTCAAGGGGTCAAAGGTCAAGGTCACATTGACCTTGAAAGCAAAAACGGTTTCCGATCAATAACTAAAGAACCTTAAGGCCTAGGAACTTCAAACTTGGTATGGTGATTGGTCATGATCAGTAGATGACCCCTATTGATTTTTGGGGTCAAGGGGTCAAAGGTCAAGGTCACATTGACCTTGTAAGCAAAAACGGTTTCCGATCAATAACTAAAGAACCTTAAGGCCTAGGAACTTCAAACTTGGTATGGTGATTGGTCATGATCCGTAGATGACCCCTATTGATTTTGGGGTCAAGGGGTCAAAGGTCAAGGTCACATTGACCTTGTAAGCAAAAACGGTTTCCGATCAATAACTAAAGAACCTTAAGGCCTAGGAACTTCAAACTTGGTATGGTGATTGGTCATGATCAGTAGATGACCCCTATTGATTTTGGGGTCAAGGGGTCAAAGGTCAAGGTCACATTGACCTTGAAAGCAAAAATGGTTTCCGATCAATAACTAAAGAACCTTAAGGCTTAGGAATTTCAAACTTGGTATGGTGATTGGTCATGATCAGTAGATGACCCCTATTGATTTTGGGATCAAGGGGTCAAAGGTCAAGGTCACATTGACCTTTTAGGTAAAAACGGTTTCCAATCAATAACTAAAGAACCTTAAGGCCTAGGAACTTCAAACTTGGTATGGTGATTGGTTATGACCAATCAGATGACCCCTATTGATTTTGGGGTTAAGGGGTCAAAGGTCAAGGTCACATTGACCTCTTAGGTAAAAACGGTTTCCGATCAATAACTAAAGAACCCTTAGGCCTGGGAACTTCAAACTTGGTATGGTGATTGGTCATGACCAGCAGATGACCCCTATTGATTTTGGGGTTAAGGGGTTAAAGGGCAAGGTCACATTGACCTTGTAGGTAAAAATGCTTTCCGATCAATAACTTAAGAACCCTTATGCCTAGGAACTTCAAACTTGGTATGGTGACTGGTCATGACCAGCAGATGACCTATTGATTTTGGGGTCAAGGGGTCAAAGGTCAAGGTCACATTGACCTTGTAGGTAAAAACGGTTTCCGATCAATTAACTAAAAACGCTTAGGCCTAGGAACTTCAACCTTTGTGTGATGATTGGTCATGACCAGCAGATGACCCCTATTGAGTTTTAGGTGAAGGGGTCAAAGGTCAAGGTCACATTGACCTTTTAAGTAAAAACGGTTTCTGATCAATAACTCAAGAACACTTAGGCCTAGGAACTTCAAACTTGGTATGGTGATTTGTCATGACCAGCAGATTACTCCTATTGATTTTGGGATTAAGGGGTCAAAGGTCAAGGTCACAATGACCTTGTAAGTAAAAACGGTTTCTGATCAATAACTAAAGAACGCTTCGGCCTAGGAACTTCAAACTTGGCATGGTGATTGGTCATGACCAGCAGATGACCCCTATTGATTTTGGGGTCAAAGGTCAAGGTCACATTGACCTTGTATGTTAAAACGGTTTCCGATCAATAATAAGAGAACCCTTAGGCCTAGGAACTTCAACCTAGGCATGGTGATTGGTCATGACCAGCAGATGACCCCTATTGATTTTTGGGTCAAGGGGTCAAAGGTCAAGGTCACATTGACCTTGTAGGTAAAAACGGTTTCTGATCAATTTACTAAAAACGCCTAGGCCTAGGATCTTCAAACTTTGTATGATGATTGGTCGTGACCAGCAGATGACCCCTATTGAGTTTTGGGTCAAGAGGTCAAAGGTCAAGGTCATGACCAGTAGATACTTTATAACCCTTATTAATTGTTTGATCACTGGGTCAGAAGTCATGCATAATAACCTTATCACATGACTAATTGGCTGCTGATAGGGGGCATACATGTTTTACAAACATATCTTGTTGATTTAATCTTTCATAGTTTTTTCCTCCTTACTGCGTCCAGTATTTTATTAGTCCAGCTTCGCTGTCTCCTGTGACGGCTCTTGTTGTAGTACATGCTTATTGAATTTTTTAAACAAATGGAATATGTGTTCGAAAATACATCAAAAATGATGAACTGTGTGAAATGTTTTTAGCTCACCTGGGCACAAAGTGCTCAGAGGTGAGCTTATTTGATGGCAATCAATCTTTTGTTCATTGGCATTATTCACTATTTCTTCAAAACTTAAAGGTGGATTTTGACCAACATCACAGGAACGATCATTAGGTGGCACTCTTAAAAGTGATATGAACAGTTCCTGTCTGATGTATAAGTAGATCACAAGAATTTAAGATAGACTTACCGCTTCTGTGGTCGAGGGGTTAGAGTCGATGACTTCTAATCCAGTTACCTTTCTGGCATGGGTTCGATTCCCTGGAGATGCTTTGGTAGTTTAGCGCGGAGGAAGGTAGTCTAGTACTGGTGTAACTCTCCAGGAACGATGGTTAGGAAACTACCCACCTATATGACAGAAATACTGTTGGGAAAAGGCGTTAAATGAAACAAACAAACAAACAAAGATAGACTTTAAAGGGATACTTATGCAAATGAATGACAAAAATATCAAGTTGATCTTATTTCCTCAATTCATGCTTAAATGACATTTTTAAAAGTTCTGGCATGAATTTCTGTATAAATACTATATATTTTGGGCTTCAAGCGTAATTATATCTTTATATGTTGAACGAAATTAAGAAGCTGCCAGAGATCATTGGATTAGTAATCCAGGGATCACTGAATGGATTGTTCAAGGGAGGCAAAATTTCTCTGTGACAATTTGTCTCTGGCAATACTAGTCATAATTCTCTCACCACTGATTAAGAAGTCATGTGGTATTAGAGGTTGGTCACTTGTGGAAAAATTGGTAATTACTGGTTAGTTACCTAGAACAACAAGTTTGGTTAATTGACCACCAAGATATGACCCAAACAAATATGTTATAAACTATCATAATACCAGAAATAAAACTAACCCTAAGGTCAAAATTGGCCACTCTGGAGGGACTTTGAAATTTTGATTTAATAGAGTTACATAGATATAATCTGAAGAATAGAAGAAAATTATATTCATAAAGGAAGCATCCGTCAGTTAACTTTTACTTTAACGACATCCCTCTCATAAACCGCTGAGCCAATTCATCCAAACTTTACAGCAATGTTCCTTTGGTAATCAACTTTAAAAATTGTTCAAAGAATTTAATTCCAAGCAGAACTCTGGTTGCCATGGCAACCGAAAAAAACAAAATAAAAATCTCTTTTAAAAAATCGTAAGAGCTAGAGCTTAAGTAGAGCTTAAATATTTGTCATGAAACATCATCTAGTCAGTGTCTACAAAGTTTGTTGAAATAAATGCCCTGGGGTCAAAATTGGCCCCACCCCCAGGGGTCATTGTTTTTCCTTATTTGTATATAGTAAAAACTTTAAAAATCTTCTTTTAAAATAATCCAAAGAGCTAGAGCTTAGCTATTAAGCATGAAACCATCTTCTAGTAGATGTCTACCAAGTTTTGTTCAAATAAAAGCCTGGGGTCAAAATTGGCCCTGCCCCAGGGGGTCATTGTTTTTCCCTTTATGACGTATATAGTAAAAACTTAAAAAAATCTTCTTTTAAAAAACCTTTAGAGCTAGAGCTAAGATATTTAGCATGAAACATCTTCTAATGGTCGCTACCATTTTTGTTCAAATAAGGGCCCTGGGTTAAAATTGGCCCCGCCCCGGAGATCATTGATTTTTCCTTATATGTAAATAGTAAAAACTTAAAAAAATCTTCTGTTGAAAAACCCAAAGAGCTAGAATTTAGATATTTAGCATGAATTATCTTCTAGTGAGTGTCCACCAAGTTTGTTCAAATAAAAGCCCTGGGGACAAAATTTGGCCTGCCAAGAAAGGGGGGATGTCATTGTTTTTCCTTAAATGCGTATAGTAAAAACTTAAAAAATCTTCTTAGAGGTAGAACATAGATATTTATCATGAAACATCTTCTAATGGGTGTCTACCAAGTTTGTTCAAATAAAAACCCTTGGCTTCAATTTGGCCCACCCTGGGGGCCTATAAACAGGTGAGCAATTTCGGGCCATTATGGCCCTCTTGTCTTATTTCATTGTGTATCCATGGCTAATCTGATTGTCTGATAATAACAGTTTTAATTAGAATTGTTTTGTGTGTGAATGTATGTAAGGTTCCGAACATGCTGGTCATTGGTATAGTGTTTTTTTGTTTGTTTGGTTGGTTTTAACGGCACACTGACAAGTGAATGGTCACACTGAGCCAAACACAATTATTAATGATTATGTACATTGTATTATCATCATGTTCATTAAATCTCAGAATCCAAGTTTGTTTGTTTTTTAAATAATCAGGGTTTTGAGTGAAACTAAGACAAAAAGCTGTGTAAGTGAATTTACCTGTTAATATCTGTCAAAAACCTGAACAAGGTGACAAGGAAATTTATGACAGAGAAATATTCAGTGCAAATCATTTTCTCAGGTGAAAATGTGTAACTTGAGTGAGTCCAATCAACATATGAGAAAAACAACTTACATTTTTAAGAGTGTTACAAAATTTATACATTTTGTTTCAGAGTTGAGTAGTATGCTTATTAAAGCAGCATGTTTTCAAATATTATTTTACTAAATTGTAAGTGCAGGACAGTGATAACGTATTTCTTTATTCAAGAAGAGGTCATCAACACTACTTTAGTCCTTAAATTAAAACTGTGCTTTGTGGGCAAAGCAAATATAGACTTATCCATCAAAAATTAATATAAAAAGGTGACGCATGTCTATATTTTCTTCAGCAAATTCTGATTCTGCAACAGAGACAAGAAAAATTTCTAGATAAGAACTTGATGATGCTGTGCAATATGTTGGTTAGAAAGGCTGTTTTGTAAGCAGATGTTATCATTTTTTTTACCTGAATGTGGCTACAGATAACGCCTTCTGATAATACCTATACAGTACAGAGATTATAATGTATAATTTAATTAATTTATTTTGAACTTAATTTGGATGAAAATACAATTATGAGAAATAGTTTAGAGAATACCGATCTGGTGTTCTCTTAAGCAAATGTCTCTAGGGTATTTTGTCACCTGGGGTACTGTATATTAATTGTGATTAATCCTTAAAAAAAATGTTAGTTTTACCTGTAATAAAAAACAAGCTCATTGTCCCCTACCGGTTTAACCGGAGGGGACTTTAGGTTTACCCTCCGTCTGTCTGTCAGTCTGTCAGTCCACAAAACTGGATCCCGCGATAACGCAAAAAGTACTGAAAATATTTTTATGAAACTTGATGTATGGATAGATGGCAGTATGGAGATTATGGTTGTCTTTTTCTTTTCTTCCTATGTTGAAAATTCTGGTTGCTATGGCAACAAATAGTCTGAAAATATGGCAAATTTAACACATAAACTGGATCCAGTGATAACTCAAAAAGTACTGAAAATATTTTTATGAAACTTAAAATATGGATAGATGGCAGTCTGCAGATTATGCACATCTTTTTCATTTCTTCCTATGTTAAAAATTCTGGTTGCTATGGCAACAAATAGCCTGAATTTCAAGATTTCTGATTTAAATTTTTCAGCTTTTTCACTGTAAGTTCTTTATTTCTTAAGGTGTTTACTTCAAACTTTAAATATAAGTTTCTGGTCATCAACCATATCATATGTGACAAGGTTTACAACTCTAGCACAAAAATTATCAGTATTACCTCCCTTGAACTTAGATTTTTTATGAAAAAAAAAAAAAAAACAACGTTTTTTTTAAATAACTTCTTTATTTCCTAATGTATCTACTTCAAACTTCATATATGTGTTTCTTATTCTCACTCAACATTTTTGAGAAGGTTAAATACTCTAGCAAGACTATTTCCAGAATTATGTCCCCCTTGAACTTAGATTTTTTTCGAGAAATTGGTATTTTTTACTCCAAATTCTTCATTCCTTATAGGATTTACTTTAAAATCCCACATCATAATAATATGACAAGGTTGTATAAACATAATTTCCTTACTAGGCAGGGAAACATAGCACATTACTGTGAAATAGACAAACTTAGAACTCAAAAGATTTAAGTTCATTTGTGTCATTTATTCGCTGGTAAAATTGAAATCAGAAATGTTGCTGGGGTTCTAACCGGTAGGGGACTTATGGATTGCTTGCAATACTATGATAATTGCTTGTTTTTATGTGTCACGCAGTTTTATTCTTGAAAGTCAGATCTTGAGCTAAAGCTGAATTATTGTCATGTTAGTCAAAAAGGAAAATCAATATAATAGTCTGACCTAAATATATCTAGTGGTGTTCAACATTGAAAGGAAATTTGGTCAAATTTTAATTTCCAACAAGATGCCTGGTGGAACTGTCATCAATGCCTTTGGAACTCAGAATAGATATGGTGCAAAACCACCTGAAAATGGAAGTTTTCCTATTGACCACAAAGGTAAGCACAGCTTGTCTAACAATTTGTACAGCACATATTGTAATATATTTTCGCGACTTGTTGCATAATGGATACAACAGTACAAGAGACGACAATGATCTATTAACAGTTTTACTGTCGTACAACGTAAAAATAAAAGCAATATACAAAGTTATGGATGTCAGAACTATAACCATGCTAACCATAGTAGTAAATTGAGTGATAAAGAAACATAAACTGATAAATACTGTGTAAAATGTTGAAAAAAAGTTATAAGATAAGATAAGATAATCTTTATTTAAAGTCGGTTTCATAAAACATATAAACATTAGCTATATAAGCTATTTTCCGACAAAACTTATTATCCTATAACAATTCAAACAAACAATCTGTATAAAAGAAAATATATAAAAGTATTAAGAAGATCAATGTACATTTATGAAAGACTCTGTAAAACAGTTAAGATTTATCAGCACATATAAATATGGGTAAGAAAGCATTAAATGATTAAAAGCAAATATACAGTACAGCTCAAGCAATTTTTCCAAAGTCTGCCGATCCCCGTGATTTGTTTACGGGTGGATTGTCACCGCGATGTCCCTGCGATAGTTGTGACTTTCCGCTCGTCTACTCGATAGGGGGGAAATTTGCACTGAGGGATATTGTCACCGTGGATCACTGTGAAATATTGCAGCGGTATTTTGCTCTCTCGGGTGACCATTAGTTTATTTATAATTCGAGGACATTTATTACTATTACTGTACGTCTGTAAAATATAATGAACTCAAACACATTTTTTATAGAAGAAAATCTTTATGTTATATATTTAAAAGAGGTAACACCTGTGGTGAGCAAATAATTACAAAATTTAATGATTTGCGTGTAAAATTAAAACCCTAATACATGTATGTAGTAACTTTTAACATAATTAATTTCAACTGCTTTAAGCCATTTTAACCTTCCTGATTTTACAGTGCTACAATCATATAAGAATTTTTAATTATTTCTTTGATCCATTTAAATGATTTTTTTCTGTTAAATTTATGTGTGTTAATTACCTTCCCTCCAAATATTGACGAGAACTAAAGTTTAAGTGGGTCGTAGCATATAATACACACAAATTTACTTATGAACTAAACATTTTTCTATTTTAAATATTTAATGTCGCATTTACGGTTATGATCTGAAAAGAAAATGTAACAAATATGTTTATTTCATCATGATCACAGATCTAAATTTTTAAATAGCGCATACCGTGGACTACTGTAGTTGTATAATAAGTAATGAGATTGATTCTTATTTATTTCTACGACACTCACCTCACCATTATGGAGAATAAATCCTCGACTTGCATTTTCCCATCACAGTCCTATTTAACAACACAAAAAAATTGTGGCTTTTGATCAGATTTCGTAATTACATCTTGCAAAGTTAACGTAGGTGTAAATTGCTTAATAAAGCGGTCTTGAGCAAAGAATAAATAAATTAGTTCCTTGATTGGATTTAACACCTTCTAAAGATTGGCCGGCTATTAAATGTACATGTATATTATATAATAAGTGGCGTTTATTGTTTCCAGTATGAATAGAATTTCTAAAAAAAAACTAAGTGTTATAGCAGAACTTTTTACATAGACAACATCAAAGCAGTAGCCGATCTAAATTGACGTGCAAACAACATTGAATTAAGATAGAACTAGTCTTATTCACATTGTTAAAAAAAATATTAAAAAGCTTCATTTAATTTTCTTGAAAGTGTTTACCGATTTCGTTAATATTTTTTTTTCTTTTCCGTTTTCTTGAAACTTTTTTCATTGAACTATTTTGTGATGTGATTTTCCCTGGTAAATGTAAATTAATATCGCCGGGCTAATTAAATAATTTTATTGAATGATTAAAATCAACAGTTACAGTGTAAGTCTTTTTGATTTTTTAAAAGAAGACTACGTTGTACATTTACGTGAACATTTTATGCAAATTAATCACTGCAAATCTCTGTGATTTTCCGCCGCGGATTGCAGGGTTTTTTACTACCCGTCCGCGGTGATTTGTCGCCGTGGCATACTATAGTATGTCCCCCGCGATTTTCTGCTCGCCGTTAAAAGTGTCCGCGGTGACTGAGCGGAAATAGGAAAAATTGCTTGAGCTGTACTGTACATTACAATCAAACATCACATAAAATTACATCATACAAGAATTCTATTTATGTACACAACCCTAAAATCAGAAAAAGGATTAGAATTTTTTTTAAAAAATTTAAATTTTTAAAATAAATTAAAGTTAATGATTCAATTTTATTTTATTTAAATATAGTTGACCTAATTTCCAGTATGATGCTTGAGCACGTATCAGTAGCAGCATCTGATATGTACTCAGTCATGAAAATATGGGTGTAACTAAAACATGTACAAGTATCATAATAATAAAACTTAAAATGTTGAAATGTTTGTGTAACAGATGCTGATCTGAGTTGGCCTAGATAAATTCATGTTCTATGTACTGACATATTCTATTCTTCTGAATCACACTTTCAATTTCGAAGTAAATAACAAGTTAAACAACAAGACCATTCTCATGTAAATTTTGTTGATTCAGTTCTTTATTTAATTACATGCCCTTTTGTTAGTCCCCTACCGGTTTACCGGAGGGGACTTTAGGTTTACCCTCCGTCCGTCTGTCCGTCAGTCCGTCCGTCCACAAAACTGGATCCCGCGATTACGCAAAAAGTACTGAAAATATTTTAGTGAAACTTGATATATGGATAGATGGCAGTATGGAGATTATGCACGTCTTTTTCTTTTCTTCTTATGTTGAAAATTCTGGTTGCTATGGCAACAAATAGACTGAAAATATGGCAAATTTTACACATAACCTGGATCCAGTGATATCGCAAAAAGTACTGAAAATATTTTTATGAAACTTGACATATGGGTAGATGGCAGTATGGAAATTATGCACATCCTTTTCTTATCTTCCTATGTTGAAAATTCTGGTTGCTATGGCAACAAATAGACTGAATTTCAAGATTTCTGATTCTAGTTTTTAAGTTTTTTCACTATAAATACTTTATTTCTTAAGGTATTTTCTTCAAACTTTAAATATAAGTTGCTTGTCATCAACCACATCATATGTGACAAGGTTTACAACTCTAGCACAAAATTTATCAGAATTACCTCCCTTGAACATAAAATTTTTATGAAAAAAAAAACATTGTTTTTTTTAATAACTTCTTTTTCTGAATGTATCTACTTCAAACTTCATATAAATGTTTCTTATTATCACTCAACATTTGTGAGTGTTCAATACTGCGAACTTAGACTTTTTTTTGAAAAATTGGTAATTTTTACTCCAACTTCTTCAATCATGATAGGATTTTAAAAATGTTATATTTTGATAACAGGGATGTTTAAAAAATAACTTTAGAGTGTCCTTCAGTCCGTCTGTCTGTCTGTACATAAAAACTGTTTCCTGTGATCACTTTTAAAGAACTTTTTCAACAAATTTATTTAAAAAGGAACATAAGTGAATGGCCAATGGCCCTTCAGAATGTTGCTTGGGCTCTTACCGGTAGGGGACTTATGGATTGCTTGCAATACTATGATAATTGCTTGTTTACTATATTATTTCATACCTGGTCATGCGGAGGAATTAAGCGTCCTGCCACAGGAACTTGAAATTCTATCACTATTAACGATAATATGCAAAATATACCCCCTATATACTCTCGTATGTTCCAGATATACTATAAAAAAACCACTGTTTTTTATAGTATATAGGGGGTATATTTGGATATTATAATTAATATTGGTTATTTGATAGAATTTCAAGTTCCTGTGGTCCTGCGCTACAATCATTAAATTTAGATTTAATCCAAACAGTACTGTATATCATTGTTGTATTTTATAAGTTAGGCCTAACGGGTAACGCCCAATTTTTCAAACCAAGGGAGGAAACTTACATGAAATGTAAATAAAATATAGTGTCTGGATTTTACAGTCTTCATGATGACCAAAATAAACCTGTATGACAAAGAACAGAATTACAAGTGAATATAAAAATTGATGCTTAATCACTTACAGGTTTTACGAAGGATCAATATGATATTTGAGTTGATGTGAATTTCCATTAGGCCTACACTAAATTACACCCCATATATATGCCTCTTCGTAACAAGGATGGCTACCGTCTCTATTTTTAGTGACATCTTGGGGTTTTCCAAGTCTCTTAACCTTTTCATTCTACAGTCATAGTTCCCTTGCTAATTCTTTAAAGATTAATTTCAATTCATGACTTCAAATACTGTGAAACACAATGGCCAGTTAATTGAGTTGTCAACACATTTTTTTTCTCTTATAATGCTCCACTTTGTAGACACATTTTCATGGAAAAAATGTTCAATTTTGTGTTTGATAAGGGAACGTTTAATTGTATTAAGAACCCAAATAAATTGGGTAAAATTCCATTCCTTTTTATGGTTTTAAATAAAATTTTTGATAGTAAAAAACATCATATTTTGTTCAGTAATACGAAGGATCCCAGTAATGATCATTCATTTCTTGTTGTAAGTTCAGCCTACCAAAATTCCTTCTAGAGCAACACTAAATCCATATAGATAAGGATATAAACAGAAGTCTTAGAAATATTTGTTGATAGTTATCATAATAGCTAAGTAGAATTCTCGTAAATGCTGCTGATGTTGAATTTATGATGAATTGCAATGATTCAATCAGAGCAAAATGTTTATCTGCATACATGATTCCTTGAAACCTGATAAATTATTTAATTGTGTTAAATGTGCAATGAAGAACTCAAGGACATTTATTACGTTCTATTATTTGAAAATTACTAGCAAAATAGTTTGTTGTCTGATTTGACTTTGAAACAGATTATAACTGACAGTTACTGACTGGACAATTAAACTTTGAATTAGGTCATACAATGATTTTGTGATGCAATAAAACTTAATGATAGACTTGTCTGATTAGAAGTGGAGCACTTTTGTTTTCAAATAATAAAGAAATATTTAAAACAAGCAAGAATGACATTTACAATAAAGTTATAGATTTCATATATAATGAGGAATAACATGTGTTATCTTTTCCTTAAATTTGCTTCATTTGTTCAATGATCATAAATTTAAATACTGTTTTCTGTGATCTGCTATTAGAAACTTTGTTTACCTCACAGGCGCTAATCACATACTCAAATATTTTACATAATCAGCCTATTTATGTATATCTTATAGTATATAATAGCCCATATAGAACATACAAAACGTTTGTTTCAAGCACCTGTGGTTTACTGTTGGACTCAAAGTAAAACTTCCTAATATTAAGATGGCATGATCCATACATTCTGGTTGATTTAAAGGTCAATATTATTCTGTTTTCAGGTGAATGTAAGGAGTACATGATGGAGTTTATGAAATGTTTAAAGACAAATGATAATGACAGTTCAAAGTGCCGAATGCAATCAAAAGAATACCTTGGATGTAGGATGGACCAGTAAGTCAACATTCTAAAACTTATTAAATGACATGTTTTAATGATTTTCATAAGATAGTTGAATTATGTAAATGTCTGAAATTATCTTTCCTTGAATTATGTAAATGTCCGAAATTATCTTTCCTTGAATTATGTAAATGTCCGAAATTATCTTTTCTTGAATAATGTACGTGTCCGAAATTATCTTTCCTACAGTTTTTATTATTGATACATGTAAATCAATTATCATAAAAAAGCAATGACTTTTTATAATTTAGTAGTTTCTATTGGTACATGTGTGTACAATGTATACATATCTACAGAAATGTACTAGTACATGTAGTTGGCTGGTAAATCTGCTATTGTTAGACTGCTTTAATAGAGAAAAGTTTACATGCGTATACAATATTTATCTAGCTTTTTAATGACCAGGATAATACATTTGTTTCAGCAATCTTATGGAACGAGAAAGTTGGAAGAAGCTTGGTTTTGCTGATCTTGTGAAGGATGAATGACTGGACATTTCCCATTTCAATTATATCATGAGACAGTCATTGTATAATTATAAGTGATCATACATTAAGAATCATCTAACTTTCATTTTTGAAGAATGATAGAACATATACCATTTAGAATCAAGAGGTGACAGTTATAGAGAACATGTCAAAGAAAATTAGAATGTTCATTGTAAAGGCTGGTTATAATTTTTGAAATGAAAGAATACTTAATTGTTGTGTGATGTTCATTATAATCTTAAAAGGAATTTTTTTTGCAATAGTGTCCTGTGTGGAAGACAATAAACATTCTCTTTGTCATTTTCATTATTTGAAAATCTAAGCTAATTTTCAAGACTGTGTCATCTTAATGCTGATCTTGAGGAACTGCCAGTTGTAACTGGAGAGATAAAGATGTGTAAATCTGTGGCAGAGTGGCTGACACACAGCACCACTGTGGGTTTGAATCTCAAATTTAAACATTGAACCTTTCTCGGTGTATGTGAGAAAGCTATCTATTAAAGGTTGGCGATTCTACCAAGATGCCCGTAGACATGTTCCTATATGATACAGGTTATGTGTGAAGATGTTAAGTGTGTTTCTACACCAGTTAATGCTGAAACATGAGCAACACACCAATCTCCACCTTAGTTTTTTATCAGAGGAAATGAATATGCATAAATTATTAATATATACTATTTATAAATTTGTTGTGTGAGAAAAAATACAGTAGATTCTTCTTTCAGAAATATTACAGGAAACTGGACAATTTGTTTTGCAATAGCAATGTTTATTTTTTAGCTCAACTATTCGATAAGAATAAGTTGAGCTATTGCAGTCACCCGATCGTCTGTGTCGGCGTCTGTGTCAGCGTAACCACTTATGTTAAAGTTTTTGTAATAGTTCAAATATTTTCAAAGTCCATTGACATATGGCTTTGAAACTTTGCACACTTGTTCACCATCATGACCCCAACGTGTAGACAGGAGGAGGTAACTCTATCAAGCATTTTGACAGAATTATGCCCCTTTTTTGACTTAGAATTTATGTTAAAGTTTTTGTGATACCTCAAATATTTTCAAAGTTCATTGACATATGGCTTTGAAACTTTGCACACTTGTTCACCATCATTACCCCAACCTGTAAACAGGAGGAGGTAACTGTATCAAGCATTTTTTTTTACTATCAAGCACTAAGAATAGTCGAGCGTTACTGTCCTACTGACAGCTCTTGTTGATATAACATGTTGTATATGTTCAGAGCTATTATTTTCTCACATCTATACTATCAGTTTTAAATATTTTTGACAGGTTATTCAACATTATATCAACGGTTGTCTAGCAGCCTGGGTTATATTGCAAACAACTGTTTAAATGCAGTCATATAACCTATCAAGAATTTTTATAACAAATTTTTAACACAGCAAACTTCCTTTTTTAGAGGAAAAAAAAGGTGTGATTTCTTCATTTAAAGATCCTGTGTGTTGTAATTAAGGTTGTTACCACATTTAAGTGAAATTTTATACATGTATATGTATATAATCATGCTTAAAATAAATGCATTCATTTCTTATTGGAAAATTTGACTTAGCCTTTATAGAAAAAACATTTCTGATTATCTCCATTTATTAACATGAAATGTAAATTTGGTAATATCTTTACAAATAATACTTTTTGGAACTTACAATATTGATACATCTTCATTTGAACATTATATTTATGATATAAAACAATAAAAAAAATTGAGCTGTGTATATAAAACTATATAAAGAATGAAAAATGATGTTACAAAACATGCAGTATAGATGTTAATGATTTCAGACAGAATATTTTAATTCATTTTTCTTTATCTTTTTGAACAAAACATGATAAGTTTGTTCACAAACTTGTTTTGTTGCTGCACTTATAATATGACATAAATATTTTTTGATAAGCATTCGTACTGTAAGACCTTCTTTAACCTAGTTTAACCAAAGCAAGCAAGGCTTTCAGTAAATTTGTTGACTCAGTTTTTTAAGTTCATTTTTTAATTGAAACTCAATGCAGCCATACTTTAACATTTAGTATGTTGATAGCAACATGAAACAATCTTGACTTCAGTGTTGAAGAGAAATTACATTGATTTTTATAAATCATAAATATTTGTGGAGGTTGTATATCTTTATGAATGGAAGTCTTGGTAACTGAAAGTCTCTTTACTTGTCTAATTCTTGTTTGTAACTTCATACATGAATATTTGTACAGTTTATGTATGCTTGCTCATTTATTTCCTATGTGACTCACCGGTATTCTGTAAATTTATTTAATATGTCCATGTAAAAATATGATTTTTTTCACTGAATAAAGATATTTATACAGATTTGTCAAGCTTATGAAAATTTATTTCATCTAGCATTTATGAAAGTTTATTTTACTATAAGTACAATGCTTTAAAGCTTGGTTTTGACAATTGCACATTATTCATATGGAAGTCTTTTACTATGGGGCACATTCACCCCCCCCTCACCCCCTTGCCTGGCAAGTGTGTACATCAAAGGAAAATCTTGACGTTCTTGTGTTAAAATCATTGCAGGCTTTAAAGAAAGGTGCAGAATTATATAAGTGACTGGACAGATCCAAAAGATGTAGCTGAAAAGGTCCAATAAAGAAATTCAGCATGTTAAGGATAAAACAAAATGTTTACTCTGTATTTGGAACTACATTATTTAACTGATATAGCTTAAAAGTAAACAACCTTCTTATAAAGAAATTGACCTAAGTAAACACTGTAATTTTGATCTTTTAGATGGCCTGACCCTTCTCAAGCTAAACGTTTTGAATGCACTTACTTTTCAATCAGACAAAACCATTCTACATAGTTTTAGGAAAATTTAAATTTTGTACTGACAAAATAGCAAATAGTGCTGTTTAGATTATTCCCAGTCGTAGCCATGCAAGGTTTAAGTTTATTGAATATAAATCCTTTACAATATAAAAATTTAACGGATATTTGCAGGTGGTCTAGACTATGAATTGATATTACTTGTTATAAGGATGGTCGTGTAGATAGTACCACTTGCTGAACCGATTTTTAGCTCACCAGACCTGAAGGTTCAGAGTGAGCTATTAGTATCAAAGGGGATGCTCCGCCATCCATTGTCATTTGTCAACAATCGTCTTCTTCTCTGAAACTGCTTGGCAGATTTACTTTAATTTTGGTCTGTAGCATCCTTGTGACAGTCACACTTGAATTTGCTCATGTCATTCCAATTGGCCCCTTTAAGGGGTCACTAGAGCTAAAAATAGAAAAACCTTTAAACATCCTCTTCTACAAAACTTACTAACTAACTTTCCGCATTACCAACCGAAAGCAAAACATGTGCCATCCCTGAAATCTGTGGCTGAATTAAGCATGGAAGAAGTGAAAAAGATAATAAATGAATTAAATACCAAATCTTGTGAGCTAGATATCCTCCCTACACACGTTTTGAAATCATTTCTGAATGAACTTCTTCCATTAATCAATAAACTGGTTAACTTATCACAATCAAAAGGTGTATTTCCAAAATCGCGGAAGCAAGCGCTCTTACGACCCCTGTTGAAAAAAGTAGGAGTGGATCTCATTTTCTCAAACTACAGACCAGTGAGTAACCTATGTTTTCTATCGAAAGTGATTGAAAAGGCTGTTCTGCTCAGACTTAACGCTCACACAGATGAAAACAACCTGCTTCCCCAAAACCAATCCGCATATCGTCGACACCATTCATGTGAGTCAGCTCTGTTGCTGATAGTGAATGACATTTTGGACGGTTTGGAGCAACAGGAGGTAACAGCTATGCTTGCACTTGACCTAAGTGCTGCCTTTGATACAGTAGACCACGACATTTTGTTGGATGCGCTCGCTATACAATATGTTTTTTTTTCGACCGCGCTTGACTGGATCAACTCATACTTGTGTCCTCGTAGCTGTCGTGTCAGTTTAAACTCGTCGTTGTCGTCTGCGCGTTCACTGGAATGTAGTGTCCCACAAGGCAGCTGTCTTGGTCCTTGGCTTAACCTCACATACGCCGGAACGCTCTTTGACATTATACCACCTTCAGTCACGGTTCATGGCTTTGCTGACGATCACACGGAAAAACGTACGTTTCAACCCGTCAAACGAAAATGCAGAAATGAATCCCATAGAAACTCTTGAAAACTGTGCTTTTGAAACAAACAATTGGATGAATGGAAACAGATTAAAAATGAATACAACAAAAACTGAATTCATCGAGTCTGGCAGCAAACATCCGTTATCAAAATGCTCTCTTGACAAAATTAACATTGCCTTTGATGAAATCGAATCAAAGAACTGCATTCGTTATTTAGGTGCATATCTGGACGAAAATCTCAATTTCAAAGACCATGTTAAACGCAAATGCCACACTGCCATGTTCACCTACTTGAAAATAAAAAAGAAACGTCAAGAAATATCTCACAAAAGAAGCAACCGAAATATTAGTCTTGTCTCTCGTCATCTCTCATTTAGATTACTGTAATGCAATACTTTATGGAATATCCCAGTGTGAAATTCAAAACAGTTCCATTGGCAATGCACCTGCTTATTTGACTGGTCTTTTGTCTGAAAAAATTCCTTCAAGACTTCTTCGCTCTGCAGCTTCTTCAGAGGGGTGATATGTTGTTCCCTTCAATAAGAAAAAAAACTGTTAGCGACAGAAGTTTGAGTACGGTGGGACCACGCCTTTGGAACGAACTTCCAATAGACATTCGTCAGTCCGACTCTGTAGACATTTTCAAAAGTAAACTGAAAACATGGTACTTCTAGTTTGGATATTCATATAGTTCTGTTTTTTTCTGATAGAAAAGTGATCTGATAAAGTACAAATGTGATAATGAGTTAAATTTTTTTTAATTCCTTTAAATAATAATAAAAGTATTCTTCATACAGCTTCTAAATATTTTACTTATTTTAAACTTGTGTGTGTGCGTGTGTGTGTCTATATTGGTTGGATCACTCCAGTTTGCATACTCTTGCGGTGAAGACTAATGCATATGTAGACACAAATCATAGGAGACTGGCGTGTGTTTTGCTCTTTGAGGGAGGAATTCTTTGTTTGTAAGCTTTCTAAATGTTATTTTTATTGTTTGAATTGATTCCACTATTATTTTTAATTTATTTAAATAAGATCTTATCCTTTTATCCATTTAAATGTTTTATATGTACCATCGTACAACGCCATTGAAAATTGTTATTGAAATAGTCGTTTAATCGAATAAAATGTTTCATTTGATGGATGATCACCAAACTTTGTCTGTAGCATTCTTTGGTAGTATTTTTTCAAGTTTGCTCATATTAAACTGATTGGCGCCTTTTAGGGGCCGCTAAAGCTAAAAATAGAAATACCATTCAACGTGTATTTCTACAGAACTTATTGATGGATGATCACCAAACTTTGTCTGTAGCATTTTTAGGTAGTCTTTTATCAAGTTTGCTCATATTAATTAGATTGGCCCCTTTTAGGGGTCTCCAGGGCTAAAAATAGAAAAAATCTGTAAACATCTTATTCTACAGAACTAATTGATGGATGGTCATAGCATTCTTGAGTAGTCTTTTATCAAGTTTGCTCATATTAATTTGATAGGCACGTTTAAGAGGCCGCTAAAGCTAAAAGTAGAAATATCTTTAATCGTCTTTTCTAAAGACCTAATTGAACTAATTGATGGATTACCAAACTTAATCTGTAGCATTCATAGGTAGTCTTTTATCAAATTTGCTCATATTAATTTGATTGGCCCCGTTTAAAATAGATAAATACAGAATCCCTAAAGAAAGCCCAACACGGCAAAATTGAAAATGTTGCAGGCTCGGTTTGATTGAGCGGTACTGGAAAGTGCAAGTTACCGTCCACGCCCCCTAGCACCGGCTTAAGCAGAATTCAACATTTAAACATGGAATAGTAAAATTTTGAATTTAGAAACATCCGCAGATGTGTTCATACAGCGGTTATCATGGAACCTTCAATGTGACACTGTCGTGCCATTCCATGAAAAGCGGCGTATGGTCCCCAAGTAATAAAAAGCGTGTGCCCTAAACGAAAAAACAATCGGCGGAACTAAATAAAATGGAATTTTGAAAGGGGATCAGAGGTTATGAAGCCTGCGTATCACAGATAAGACGTCAAAAGACAAATTTAAAAAGCAGGTAACATATCCTGAGGGTGATTCAACATTATTCAACTAGGAATATTGGAACCACCCAACTAGAAAATGCTGAAAAGTTGAAACTAAAAATACCACAAGCACACCGATAATGTCGTGCTGAACGATCTTCAAGGATCAAAAATATAACATCATTGATTAAATGTACGGGGAGACTTTTTACTGCCGCCACACGACACAAATAACACGGATGTGATCATAAAATAGATAAATACAGAATCCCTAAAGAAAGCCCAATACGGCAAAATTGAAAATGTTGCAGGCTCGGTTTGATTGAGCCTGTTCATGGACGGTACTGGAAAGTGCAAGTTACCGTCCACGCCCCCTAGCGACGGCTTAAGCAGAATTCAACATTTAAACATGAAATAGTAAAATTTTGAATTAAGAAACATCCGCAGATGTGTTCATACAGCGGTTAACATGAACCTTCAATGTGACACTGCCGTGCCATTCCATGAAAAGCGGCGTATGGTCCCCAAGTAATAAAAAGCGTGTGCCCTAAACGAGAAAACAATGGGCGGAACTAAATAAAATGGAATTTTGAAAGGGGATCAGAGGTTATGAAGCCTGCGTATCACAGATAAGACGTCAAAAGACAAATTTAAAAAGCAGGCAACATATCCTGAGGGTGATTCAACATTATTCATTTAGGAATATTGGAACCACCCAACTAGAAAATGCTGAAAAGTTGAAACTAAAAATACCACAAGCACACCAAAAATGTCGTGCTGAACGATCTTCAAGGATCGAAAATATAACATCATTGATTAAATGTACGGGGAGACTTTTTACAGCCGCCACACGGCACAAATAACATGGATGTGATCATAAAATAGATAAATACAGAATCCCTAAAGAAAGCCCAACACGGCAAAATTGAAAATGTTGCAGGCTCGGTTTGATTGAGCCTGTTTCATGGACGGTACTGGAAAGTGCAAGTTACCGTCCACGCCCCCTAGCGACGGCTTAAGCAGAATTCAACATTTAAACATGGAATAGTAAAATTTTGAATTTAGAAACATCTGCAGATGTGTTCATACAGCGGTTATCATGGAACCTTCAATGTGACACTGTCGTGCCATTCCATGAAAAGCGGCGTATGGTCCCCAAGTAATAAAAAGCGTGTGCCCTAAACGAGAAAACAATGGGCGGAACTAAATAAAATGGAATTTTGAAAGGGGATCAGAGGTTATGAAGCCTGCTTAAATGCCCCAGGTCATGTAATTTTTTCAAATTATTGTTTAAACATATTCTATGCTCAAATTTAATATTAGAAAATATTGACAATGGATAATTTCCAACACTGAAAACCAGTTGTTTCTGGTGAGCGACCAAGGGCCTTCATGACCCTCTTGTATCTATTTTTGCGATTGGCAATATAATTAACATTGGTACCAAAGGTGGATAAATGGCACCATTGACTTAGTTTGTTCCAGTTTTTATATGCTAGAAGACATACGGGACATATGGTATGGCCCTTTATTAAACAAAACAAATGACCTCATATCCCAATTCGGTTGCATGTCGATCCATCCGTTTGTCTGTAGACAATTGGTTTCCAAAGCATAACTTGAAGAATTCTAGTGAGTGTGTTTAACTGTTTATATTTGGCATGTAATATCAATGTTATATCAAAAAAAAAACCAGGTCAAGTGCGATTTTGGCTGTAGTCAACGCATTATTAACGTCATATTTGTCACTTGCCCTTTGCTTTATGTCACTTGCTATTAGCTACTTGCCATTTGCTAAATTGTCCCCCGCCTTTTTGAAGAAAAAAAGGGGGATATAGAAATAGGCTCCGCCTGTCTGTCCGTCACATTTTCGTGTCCGATCCATAACTATGTCATTTTTCAAAGTTATTTAAAATAACTTGGCACAAATGTTTGTTTAAAAAAAAAAAACTGTTTCATGCGCAACAACCTTACCACTTACTTTAAGGTCAAGGTCACACTTGCTGATTAAGGGAACATTAATTGTCTATTTGAGGTTGTATGGCGTGTCCAGTCTAGCCAGCAAGGGATTTTGTAAGTAAAGTACTTTGTATAAATGTTCACAAGAATGAGACGATGTGTCATGCGCAAAATCAAGTCCCCTACCTTCAAGCTCAAGGCCACAGTTGGAGGTCAAAAATTAACATAGTCTGTTACAGGGTATTTTTTGTGTCCGGTCCATAACTTCTTTTATAAACTAAAAGATTTTGAAATTATTTGGCACAAATGTTCACAATAATAAGACAATGTGTCATGCGCTAAACCAGTCGCCTACCTCCAGGTTAAGGTCACAGTTGGAGGTCAAAGATTAACATAGTCTTGACAATTGACCACTGCACAAAAAAGAGTTGATCTGTCTCTTAAATTTAATATTTTCATTCTAGTCACTTGAACAATAAAAAAGGATGACTTTGCCAGATGATTATTCAAATAAGTAGACCGAGCAATATTGTGAAGGGGATTAAAGCTTATTCGTTCAAAAAATGAAGTTTACGTTTAGTTTGCTAATATTCAAATTTTATTTGGAAAACAAGTTTAATTCCACTCGGGAAGAAATGTTATAACTTATGCATCTTTATGTAATACATACATACATACATACATACATACATACATACATACAGACATACATACAGACATACATGTACTTCCAGTGGATGCCTATGCTTCTGGAATAAAAGTGAAACCTATTACTGGATTCTTTTAAATCTGGATTTATATAAGATGAGGACATTACAGAGGATTATCTGATCGTTAAATCTGGAAAGTCGCAAAGATGAATATGGGGAACTTGTTCCGGTACAATTTGAAACACGTCAAAATACTAGACAAATATAGATGATTAGCGCAGAAAGCGCTTGGCAATGTGCAATGACACTATTTGCATTGTTGGGAAAGAAATAATAAAAAAACGTGACATTTTGGTAATGTTGCATTGTAGAATGTCAAATTGCATTGTCAAGTGTCTTGGTCAACAGAAATACAGACTACGACACTCAACATTGCGAAGTGACATTTGTATAATGCGAAGTTACATCGCTGTAATGAGAAATCACGCACGACAATGCGAAGCGACAATCGGCAATGCAAAATGACATTTGATAATGTCGCTTTGTTAGAAATGAGACATAACTAAACAATAGTGTGGTATTTTGTTTGGCATTGTTAAGCGTCGTTTCGCATTGTTAAGCATCGTAAAGCATTGTCTCGATGCATGCTCCTATAGACATGTGTCGATTTATTATAGCGACCGACGACATTATAAAAGCGCTTAAATGGCACCGTAGAATTACCAAAGCATCAGTCATTCGTCTTTCGTTAACCGTCATCTGTTGTTAATCACAACCAAAAAACAACAAAAAACATTTCTACAAAACAAAGTGGTACATTTAGGACGGCACTCCATTGATCTCTTGAAAAGCTACATTGGTTAAATAGAAGTAGAATGGTTTTTGACATAAAGGGGTTACTTTTTTCGGCGGTGTCGGCGGCGTTGTCGGCGTCGGTGTCGGCGTCCCCTAAAGCTAGTCCGGAGCTTTACTCAGTCACTATAAGTCTGATTGACTTCAAACTTGGTATGCATGCTAAGTACAGTGCATAAGGACCGGTACTCTGCATTTCTTAATTTTGAGTTATTGCCCTTTGTTAATTTTCATACTTTTATTTTGTCCGGGCCATTTCTCTTCAACTAAAAAAGCTATGGACTTGAAACTTCATAGGATGATAGATCTCATTAAGAAAAAGTGCAGTGCACAAGAACCGGTACTCTGCACTTCCTAATTTTTGAGTTATTGCCCTTTGTTAATTTCATACTTTATTTTTGTCCAGGCCATTTCTCCGTATGTATAAAATCAATGGATTTGAAACTTCATAGGATGATAGATCTCATTAAGAAGAAGTGCAATGCACAAAAACCGGTACTCTGAATTTCTTATTTTTTGAGTTATTACCCTTTGTTAATTTTCATATTTTAATTTTGTCCGGGCCAGTTCTTCTTAAGTATCAAAGCTATGGACTTGAAACTTCATAGGATGATAGATCTCATTAAGAAGAAGTGCAGTGCACAAGAACTGATACTCTGCATTTCTTATTTTTTGAGTTATTGCCCTTTGTTTATTTTCATACTTTATTTTTGTCCTGGTTATTTCTTCTCAAGTATGAAAGCTATAGACATGAAACTTCATAGGATGATAGATCTCATTAAGAAAAAGTGCAGTATACAAGAACCAGTACTTTCGTTTCTTATTTGTGAGTTACTACCCTTTATTAATTTTCAAACTTTATTTTTGTCCAGGCTATTTCTCGTAAATTTTAAAAGATATGGACTTGAAACTTCATAGGATGATAGATCTCATTAAGAAAAAGTGCAGTGCACAAGAACCGGTACTCTGCACTTCCTAATTTTTGAGTTATTGCCCTTTGTTAATTTCATACTTTATTTTTGTCCAGGCCATTTCTCCGTATGTATAAAATCAATGGATTTGAAACTTCATAGGATGATAGATCTCATTAAGAAGAAGTGCAATGCACAAAAACCGGTACTCTGAATTTCTTATTTTTTGAGTTATTACCCTTTGTTAATTTTCATATTTTAATTTTGTCCGGGCCAGTTCTTCTTAAGTATCAAAGCTATGGACTTGAAACTTCATAGGATGATAGATCTCATTAAGAAGAAGTGCAGTGCACAAGAACTGATACTCTGCATTTCTTATTTTTTGAGTTATTGCCCTTTGTTTATTTTCATACTTTATTTTTGTCCTGGTTATTTCTTCTCAAGTATGAAAGCTATAGACATGAAACTTCATAGGATGATAGATCTCATTAAGAAAAAGTGCAGTATACAAGAACCAGTACTTTCGTTTCTTATTTGTGAGTTACTACCCTTTATTAATTTTCAAACTTTATTTTTGTCCAGGCTATTTCTCGTAAATTTTAAAAGATATGGACTTGAAACTTCATAGAATGATAGATCGTATTGATAAGAAGTGCAGTGCACAGAAACTGATGCTCTGCATATATTATTTTTTGAGCTATTGCCCTTTGTTACTTTTCATATTTTATTTTTGTCCTGGCCATTTATCCTAAACTATATTGTTCACAAGGCGACACATCCGACTCGCGGAGTTCTAGTTAATAAATGTGTTTTATTTCTTATTATTAACTGCATCTGTGATTGTTTGATATATGTCTAAATGAAAGACACAATGCAATTTAACAGCAAAAAGTCATCGTTATTTCAAAAAGTAAGTGCTATCAGTTCTACTTTCGTTCACATATGTATCCAAGTGTTTTAGCACAGTTATTATCATGCCAGTGATAGTGTTCGTTCGTACTCCACATGCAAGCACACTCCTCCTGGTCGTGTCCCCCGTCGTTGTGGTTTGGTTGGCCGCTGTGCCAGTCACCATCTGTTACTGGGTGATTATTAACCCAAGAGAATTTGTTTGTTCGGTGGAAATCCTTTGCTCCTATCCAAAAACCAGTCTCATGGTTATCTAAAAGAAAATATAGTCTAACATAGGTTTATATTGTAAAAAGAATGTCAGTTGAAGCAGCATTTGATGAATGCCTTTTAATTAATCAATTATTATTTTAATGTGATGCTATTTTTAGTTGCTTCATCATACGTTGAACGATTTTTATCAGATTCATTCGGAACAGTTACCTTTTTACACGCCTTAAATGTTTTGTATGCGTCATGGCAAATAAATGATGACGCAATTTTCAAAAGCACTATAGGTTTTAGTTATGTAAAAAATCTTTATCATTTTATTCATATTCCATGTCCTCAAATGCATTAACGGTTCTGCATGTGAAATATTACTTGCAAGGCAAGAAACTATATGATTTTATGTATTATATTTTCTGTAAAAATAATAAAATAAGCTAATGTGCATCAAACATTTTGTTAAAATAATATACCGTTGATATAATGACATTATTTCATGAAACAATTTCGTACTTATATCGTTCAAATTCTTTTCAGCAGATTTTGTAAGTGTGTAAAAGATCTTCTTGAACAGAATGGACAATCGTCAACATTTTTAACTTACAATGACCGTCGTGAACTAATTTCATTCTCATCATTCGTGCTTTAACGCTTGTATCCAACGCAACAAGATCACCACCATTATGTTTACAATCTGATCGAGCGCTGTCCCAGTTCCGTTGATGTGTCACAATTTTCACACATAGATGTGTACCGTCTCTTTCCAAATCCATATAACCGTCATGTGTGTCGCATTTAAATGTGTTAGTATGGTGAGTAGGTTTCGGATTTGTCACAGTGTCAGTCGCCCCTGAAATTTGAAAACAGAATGTCATGATTATCAAGAACATAAAGCCGATTCTACATTGTTGCATTTAAATATGTGTTATTTGCATTGCACTGTGCACCTAGTTAGCACTGTCATTTGTGGTCCATTCGGAACTGCCTCGGCTATTATTTATAATATTAACCTAGCTCGGAAACAGTACGTATTGAAAGTAGTTCTACCACGTGGTTTCAGATGTAAACAGAAACAGAGATAATGTAAAACGAATGTATATATTTGACATTTAATGCCTGTTCCGGTACTCTTTTGCTTGAAAAATATGTCTGACAACAATTTGTATTTCAAATATAACCACTGATGTTCAATTTCAAACAAATCCGGTACGGAATTAGACCTAACCCATTGTAGTCTAGAAAGAAGTTCTTTAAAATTTTGAAATTGCCCAGTTTAAGTCATCTCTAGTTAAATTGGTCATAATTAAAGTGTATTTATTGCATGTGTGTAGTTTTTGTGTGTTATATGATGACTTTAAAAGTGATTTTTTTGTGTATTCTCCAGGAACTCATTTGTTGGTGGAAGGATTAAAGATGTACTACCCACCAGCTGTCAGGAGTTTTTAAAGAGGTGAATATAAAAAGTGTTACAACAGAATGAAGATTTTTGAAAAAAAGTAGATGGCTAACCTATAATATTTTGGGCCTCATTGGACTTAGATAGTGTTAATGTTTAAAGTTGAAAACAGTATATAATTCATCAAGAACAGTGGAATCCAGAATTAAACCTCAAATTTGACTGATTTACTATAGAACAAATAGTACGAAAATTCACCGGTCCGAGTCCTTGTGCAGACTATTTATAAGGTAAATGCCCATTGTGGAATATTTTGTTGTTAGGCTTTAGTTTGATACATTCTTTTGTTTTGATTGTTTTTGGTAGTGTATTAACATATATTTATTTTTCATCCTCTTTTTAACACCCATATTCATTCTGTTTTAAATGTTGGTCATGTCGGGAATAGTGCCATAACTACTTTTCATGTTTTAAAATCAATATACGCTAAAATGCTATAAACTACATGTTGATTTTTATTTGTTATACATTATAATTGAAATGAAACAATAGAACAGAAGTACCTTTGCAAAGTTCAGTTGATATTTGAAATATTACATATGGATTCATTTGAGTTATATGTCTTGTGAATACTTTAATTCGCCATGCAAATATATTTAACTTTTGTTTCGAAAATTAATTGACTGCAAAATAGATAGTATTGCTCTCTTTCAGTAATTTGGTCAAAACCATCGAGCCATTTTTGTTCTAAACATGTTAACGGAGTTAATAAATTAAATTAGTGAAATAAAAACAACCTGTGTGGTGATCGATATTTGCTTTCAGGGTAGTACGGTCTTCACAAATAAAATGCCATTTGTTTCCACACTTGTCGTCATGCCAGCGATAATAATCAGGTCCGTATATTATAACACAATTTTGTGGGTTATGGTGACTATCATCCGGCTGACGATTGTGGGCAGCCTCGTCACCACCTCCCCAGTTCGTATAGAAAACCTGATGTCCGTTAGGCCAGTAGAATACACTGTTGTCGTGTTTATCGAATGCTCCTATACAGTACTTCCTATCAGACGCTTCTAAATCTGTAACAGTAATGCTTCGTACATGATTTGAGCCGAGTCAATACAAAACCAACATAGTGTGTTTGCGACCAGCATGGATCCAGACCAGCCGGCGCATCCGCGCAGTCTGATCAGGATCCATGATGTTCGCTATCAGTTTCTATACTTGTTATAGGGTTTGTAAGCGAACAGCATGGATCCTGATCAGACTGCGCGGATGCGCAGGCTGTTCTGGATCCATGCTGTTCGCAAACGCACTATGTTGGTTATGTCATTACACGGTTCAAATGCTTCCTACATGATTTGTAAATCATGGATTTTTCAGTGAGCTAAAATCCTTCTGCGACTTATCAAATCTCCACAAGCTACAAATCTGAAATTATTTCTCACCTAGTCTATTTTTCGAAATAGCTTTTTGAATAGAATTTATAGATAGAATACAAATGAAATTACCTTCAGACAAATATGTTGTTGATTACAACGTTATTTTTACTAAGTATACGTTGCTTACGTTTACACAATGTTTGTAAACATTAATTTAAAATTAATACAAGTAGATAATTGAAAAATTACTTGAATGCCGCATTATCATATTTTCTATAAACACTGTCTTCTCGTGCATATCTATGGTAACTAAATGGTCACCAATGGCTTCGCAAGCTTTCTTGGCATCGGCGTGATTAAGCAGCCTGGTTTCATCAATCTTGATACACATCCCAGTGATGTCATCATATAAATGATCTTGTTTACAGGAACCTGTATATATCATATTGAATTTCATTAACTCTGTCTAATTTTATATAATCAAATGTCAAGTCTGTTTATTAATAGGGATATGCCTTTTTCTAAATGATTTTATGTACTACCATGAGCTACAATAAATATTTATTTTCAGTCCGATATACTGAAGTTTTAGTTTGCGAAATTCAGATAACAAAATAGGCCCAGCAAACAATCTTATATTATTGCGCAAATGATATTTGATGTTGAAGAGTATATTCTTATTAATATAACATTAATGTTGCATTAAACCTCCTAAAAATCTCTGACAAAAGATTCTAGTGAAGCTTACTTCAAAGCTTTGTTTTAAGTCTGAAACTATAATAGCTAAGTGCAAGTAAAATAGACAAATGATTTTGTCATCATGATACCTTGAGAAGTTACAATGACTGGTGTCTGAGTTGTCACTTGGACGATTGGTTGATTGGACACGTGACCTTGCGTGATTGCAGGTACGGGTGTAGACATAGTGTTGTTTGTAGGGGTTCCACATTTATCATTACAGAAGTCAGTCTTACAACATGAAGGAGGACAATTTGTGTTTGTGAACGCTGAAGTCATTACATCGCATGCCTGAAAGTATAGTGAGAATAATTTATTTTAGACAAACAAGCCTTTTTGATCGGTTAAGAAGTAATTCAAAGATTTTTCTTTTTTAATTTCATTCATTTCAACCCCAAGAAGATTTCTGTCGACCCTGACGTTAATACTTGAACAAAACTTTTATCGGTCTGAGCGGTGTAAATCGGCTAACATCAGTCTGAATATTTATGTTGAATAAATCTTGTTTGGGTCGTCAGACCAAACAAATAATGGTAGCGAAATTTCAGAACCTGATGTGCTTATTTGCAAATACCGAAAGTAGTACAAACTCCTCGAAGCGGTTACTTCCCAGTATAAGTACACTGCGTAAAGATTGTCAAATGACAGGCGCATTAATTTTCAAGCCTTCTCCGGGAAAAAAATAGTTCCCGATTGGTCGAAGATTTCTAATATTGTGATATTCTTTACAGATAAACATGCTTATATTATTTCAATTTTACTTACATCAGTGTTAAACAACAGGTTTACCGAGAAATTAACAAACCCTGATTTAGAACAATGTGGTTTTCTTCAGGCTGTTATCTTAAAACTTCACCGTGACGCTCGGTAAGGAAGCGAGAGATCTGGAGTTCAAATCCCAATTAAGGCAACTTTTAAAAAAAATTGTAAGCCAAATAAATAAACATTGAATTGAATATCAGTGTTGCAATTAGCCTTATAGCCAATTTACTAAAATTATAACACTGGAAACAGCATTGGTTGCACTATACAAAAAAAAATTGGTTGATAATCTCACAATCTTTCTACCATTCTGACACCAAAACAAATCCAGAGGCTTTTATCCTTGAATTGAAAACCCGATCCTTACTTGCTTAAAGTTAATTACTCTTTAGATAGTTTTTTGCTGTCATATATGTGAGACATGATATTCTATTCTTAGTATACAAGCAATATGTATTTTTGTCAGTAATTTCTTTTTATGTCTTTTTTAATAATTGTATAAATGGTTTAAATATTACTTTAAACATTTAACATTTTCACATGATCTTGTAGATTTATTAACAAATTACACTACAACACAGAGAATGAGTGTAAGTAAGACTAGTTTTAATATTAACTTACAGCTCTACTTTCGCATTGACTTTTGTAAACTGTTTCCGGTAGACCATTGTATTCAGCAGGGCTATACAACAAACATTCCTTCAATAAATTCAAAATCAATTTTAGCTATACAGACACAAGATATATGTAGTTTTGTAGTTTTGCTTTCAAAAATATTATGTGTATAAACATTCTTAGATATAAACGATATTTTACTCAGGGATTTGATTTCTTACAGGGATGTTACAGTATAAAAGATTTTTAGATATAATGAGGGCATATGTTTTTACCTCATTTACAGCACAAACAGATACTTTGCTGCAAGCTTTCGGATCGATTAGCGCATCGCAACTGAAGCAATATGGTCCTCTTTGATTTACTGGCACGGCTTCAAACAAATTTTAAATGAAATTCAAATCAAATTCGAAATCTATCAATCGCCATCAATGACAGTGTTTAAATAATAGAATGTTAGATTTATAAATTATGCAAATTTTAAGTCACATGATTCTACATGAAATCTTATATATGTGCTTAACAGTATCTAAGTATATCAAATTTTATTTAATTTCGAAAGCGAATGAGCAATAGAATGTACATCTTGTACTGTTTATATACTAAAATTTGTAGCATTTTAATGATGTTTCAATTGAAAGCGAATAAACAATAAATGTTTCATCCTAAACTAGTAGCATTTTAATGATGCTATGATAAGTTGTTTTGCTATTTACTGTCAGTTCCGCATCCTTTGTTATTGCAGAATTCTCCAGAACAACATTCAATACATGTCGATATATCACCAGTGGTCCTTTCTTTGATGTTTGCTGATCTCTTACCAAGTATCAATGAATTTGCCGTTGAACATCTCTGTTAGAAATTAAGTACATACTATTAAATATTTCGAAAAATAAAATAATGTTAGGGGCCTTATTGATCTGTTACATATCGTTTCCAACGTCTAACTTGTCATAAAATGACCATCAATATTTATATAGCATTGACATAATTTTATTAAAGTGACATTATGCCCATCCAAGGGCATAAACCCGGTAGTGAGTGAACGGGTGAAGATCAAAATAAGTGTTTATTTTGTCATAATTCCTTTTAATTCTATGATTAAGTTGACATTAACAATAAATAACTCACAGATCCAAACGAAATTTCTGTAAAAATCCATTAGAATTTAACTATAACGCTTTGTTTATTAATAGAGTGGGACAGTCTTTTTATATTTTATGCAGATTTATAATTTTATCCTAAACATTTTCCAATATCATCTGTTGGTCAAACACCATTTTGACAGCTAATCTTTTGAAATATCAAGTCAATTCAGCTCAACTTGACTATGAAAATATGAGCACAATGTCACTTTAAGTAGCCATTTGTACATGCATTGTTCACCATTTTGTTTCAGGAGGGGTTGGGGTTGACATCAACTGTTTATGCAATGCTTATTCGTATCTTATCTAATTAAAGATTACTAGACATGATAGCATAATGCGTATAATTTTATTGTTTAAAATAATTGTCTAATTATACAAAACAGTACACATGTTATACCATTACTATTCTGTGAAATGATTCTAATTTTGAAGGAATTATATTTTCCTATTGTCTATAAATATCAAAAGATGTACCGTTATAGTGGTAATCGACCAATAGATGATTTTGAAAAGTGATTAAGATAAAATATAGATCTGCTTTAAGTATTGAAAAACTGTTTTACTCGTTTTTGATATATATTTATAGAAATGTCCGTGTGTTCAGTGATTTATAATATATCGTTCGTGCAGAGTAAATTTTAATATTCAAAGGAATTTTACAAAATATAAACTTAGTTTGCCACCTCAGTTCACTCACTATATACACTTTGATGGGCAAAATGTCATATCAATCCTGATTTAGATAATTGTTATGCTTTGATACCAAATGTACAATTTTATATTGATAGAAAACTTACATCAGTGGCCAAACACCCGGTGTTATATACAATATTACCACTTGAAGTAACAACCTGCTCTGTTGAACATTGCTGTAAAATAAACGCCGTATTAACAGTTTTCTAAAACTGTTTTATACACAGATATTTTATATGTTTGCGATAAAGGATTTATGCATTTTATCAATGCTTGTTATTGTACTTGATGATACTTTAAACATATCCAACATTTAAATGTATAAATTATTTTCTCATTTTTTTCTGTTATAATGTTTGTATTTCTTGGTTGGTTTCTCATACAAATGTATATTGATTGTGAAATCACATCTTAAAATAAAAAGATGAGCATTAAAAAAGATGCACAAACATAAAATGATGCTCTAAACCTGAAACTACAATATAGTTTTTATAATGAAATGTCCTACCTCATGCTGACTGCAAGTTACGGCATTTGAACAATCACGTGGATATGGCACGTCTTTGCATTCGAAACAGCGGACGCCATTGCCTAATCAAAAATGAAAAGAAAAAAGTGAAAATATTTTCATAATTTTATGAAAACATAAAATCTGAAACTATTATATACATCAAATGTTGCCCTTGAAATTGAAATAAGAAGACCGCTGGGCGAAGCTTTATATGCCCGAAAAGTTTGAGTCTTGGATGAATAAACAAAAAAAAATGTGACTTCTGTAAAACAGCCTTCTTTCATTGTACCCATTTATGAAGGAAATACAATGTATACATAAATTAAAGAAATTGATGTAAAAACGTATTAAAATAAAGTATAACCTCCTTCGAAAAGCAATCCTCCTTTATATCTGAAGAACCTTCATATATATATATACAGTTCCTGTTTCCAAAGCACCACCATCAAGTTGTAATTTTGTAAGTAAAATTGCTAGGACAGATGGACGGAAAGACCCCAGGGGTATAGCATAATATAACCAATTTTTAGGGCATATAATATGAAGGTCATTTGATATTGACCTTTGACCTTGTGACCCCAATGTAATATATATATATATATGGATCTTTTATTCAATATAGGTAATTATCCTATGAAGTACGATTACTGTAAGCCAAACGGAACTTGTGTTAAACCACAATTTTTAGAGTTAAGGTCATTGTGATCTTCACCTTTGACCCTATGACCCTAAAATCAATAGGGGTCATGTATTGGACATTGCTGTTCATCCTATAAAATTTTACACCTGCAAGTTGATTAATGTTTAAGTTATTGAGCGAAAACCGTTTCAAACTCATTTGTGGTACACATATTTCGAATATAAAACGACACCGACAAAAAACAGCAATTTTTACCTTCATGTCAAAACACATCAGATAGTTCCCTTTAAGTTAGATTTTATTTTGCATGGACACTTCTACGGATGATTCTTATTTCAAAATTTTACTATTTGATGATAATTGTAAAGTTATTCTTAAGACGGTGTCAATTTTGCCGTTTTTGAACGTTCTTTAGGCATTTTGTTTTCTATATTAATCATCGAAACTATTTCAATTTCAGTTAGCAAGACATAATATAACTCATAAGTTACATTAGTAAGTTATAATATAACTCACAAGTTACATAAGTAAGATATTACTCATAAGTAACGTTAGCATGATGCAATAATACTCATAAGGTGCATAAGCAATATAACTCATTAAATAGAGAAAAACAAAATCCCCACGGCAATATTGAAAATATTGCAGGCTCTTTTTGGTTGAGCCTGATCATTGACTGCACTGGTAAATGCGAAATTCCTACATAAGTTACTTGAGCAAGATAGCTCACAAGTTACATAAACAAGATATAATATAATTCATAAGGAACATTAGCAAGATATAATATAATTCACAAGTTATATATAAAAGATATAATATAACTCACAAGTTACTACATCAATATAAAATATAAATCACCAGTTACATAAGCGAGATATGATATAACTCACAAGTTACTACAACAATATAAAATATAAATCACAAGTTACATAAGCAAGATACAATATTACTCACAAGTTACAAATGTGCAACAAAGAACAAGAAGACACAGTAAGATCTTCATTCTTCTATAACCACTTACACTATGATCATAATTAATATTATCAATCAGGTCAACGCTTCATCATGATAACAGCTCTTACTTTCATTTTATTTAAATTCATGGCCACACATCAATTAAAGACATGTCTGTGATAGATTTACGAATAAATCTTATAAGCATTCTTCGTTTTCTTATGTTTTGCGTTCAAGATTCATCATTTGTCAAAGCTGCGTTCTTAACAATTTAAAAAAACCTAAGGACGATTCTGAGAACACTGTTTTGTGTGAAAGCACGGTTGTCTAACCTCGTCCTAATTATGGCCTTGTATTGTTTCTAAAGATTTAATTTTGTTTTGTCGTGAATTTACGCAGGACTAATTCTGCGTTGACACGCATCGTGCTGCGAAACGTTCATTGTCATAGTCATTGTATGGCGTTGTCGTACACTTGTTGTGCCCATTGCTCGTGCGATGGGCTGTCATGATCCATACCTGATATTTTGGTTTCATAAATATACATGAATATACTTATAGAACTGTCTTAAGCCAATTCATTGAATTCATAAAAAAAAAGGTTTGAAATTAAGAATAAGAGAAAATATTTGTTGCGTATTTGTCTTTACAATGATCCAACTCAAGTTAGGCCTTTTACACAAGAAGGTAAGACAGTTCTAATATAACAACTGATATAATATCGTCGAGCAACTAGTGTAGATTTTTTCAAAATGCAAAAGTAAAAGTGATCTTGTCAAAATTACTTCCTACCCAGCTGGTACTACTTTTATATATCACGCACTGTCCTTTCATAATTCATAAATCAACATTGTATACTCGTATATGCAAATAAACATTAAGAAAGACATTTTAACCTAAACTAAACCTAAACCTTTAACACTAAATGAAATTTGCGCCAAATAATAATACAGCGTAACGTCATTTACGAGTGATTCACACTGCCATAGTGATTCTATGCTACGAAATGAATAAATATCAATGTTTTCAATAATTTACTGTTGTTGAAATGAAATTAAGCCTAGACGTAACCACATGAATTGTCAGCATCGATGTTATATTAGCTAATTACCTAAATTGCGTTATATGTTAAATGCTGATTATTATACTGATTGGTTTTATTGTATATATGATAAACATGAGGTAACTGCACACGATAATAGTAAAAGGCGTCCGTCTAGACTGTATTTGGGCAAATGATAAGAGAAACATTTAAAATAAGCAATGGAAATTTGCAGGACGCTAGAAACAATTAGCCGCCGGCTTAAGAATGACTTCTTAACCAAGAGTATAAACTCTTATCTTATCAAGGCAACAAATCATGTTGAAGTTAACGCTATTTTAAAACTATCTGTCTGGTCGCTGAAATATGACTTGATTTATTCTTCTATCAGAGGCAAGACCGACCTGTGGATTCAGGCTTTCTTAAGCAACCGATCCCAATCTGTAGTCTTGGAAGGGGTAACCTCAGATACGGTATCCGTAGAATCCGGCGTCCCACAGGGCTCAGTCCTTGGCCCGAGTCTGTTCCTCTTCTACATAAATGACATCCCAGAGGGTCTATTTGCAGATGATACGCTGGCCTATCGTGCCATCACTAACAAGTCTGACTGTTCCACCCTACAAGCTGACCTCGACAAACTAGCTGTCTGGGAAGAGAAATGGAAAATGTCGTTCCATCCAGAAATGCCAAGTTCTCACCATCTCTAAGAAAAGAAGCCCCATCTGCCATAACTACACTCTTCATGGTCATACTCTAGAACACGTCACTTCAGCTAAATACCTTGGATGCAACCTGAATAACAACCTAGACTGGGGCCAACATATACATAACATTTGTAACAAAGCCGACCGTACCACCAGCTTCCTGCGAAGAAACCTCAACATTGCCTCTTCTTCAACCAAAGAAACGGCTTACAAAGCTCTAGTCTGCCCGACAGTAGAGTATGCGAGCACTGTCTAGGACCCCCACGAGAAGGGAGACATACAACGTCTAGACATGGTCCAACGACTTGCTGCACGGAATGTTAAAAACAAGTACCACAACAGGACCAGCGTCACAGACATGCTTGCGGACCTTGAATGGAAATCATTACAAGAACGTCGAAAGGAGGCCAGACTGATCATGCTCTACAAAGTCATCAACAACAACGTTGCTCTATACAAAGCACAACTAATACCCTCCAACTCAACATCTACAAGAAATTCACACAGCCTAACCTACAAGATACCCTACTGCCGTACACAATACCGTCAACAATCCTTCTTCCCACGTACCATCAAAGACTGGAACAGCCTACCTCCAGACACTACGTCAGCCGGTACAGTTGAGTCATTCCGTACTCATCTGTCCCACCTCTATATCTAAACCACACTCTTGTCCGTTTTTTACCTGCACTGTATATATTCCTCACTATTTTTACTCTTTCTTTCCGTCTTGCGCATTAACCTGGCAGTAAACTTCAGTTAGTTGAAGGTGGCCAGTATATTGGAAGAAGAAGAAGAAGAAGAAGAAGAAGAAGAAATTGATATTTAATGTCTAATTTTATTCCTTCGATTTGAATTTTCTTTCAATATGCTATAAATGTCTTCGAAAGGAATACACTAAGCAGACACAGGAACAAAACTTTTCGCCTTATAAAGAATAATATGGTATGAACGTATGAAAACGTTAAAGTACCCGTCAAAAGAATGACTAAGAGTTATTTCAATCTAAGTATATCCACAGTAGCCGTTTTTTAACAGAATAGAATTTTCTCTTTGACTACTCGGTGCCTCTGTGGCCGTTTTAATTTCGTTCAACGTATAAAGATATAATTACCCTTCAAGACCAATTTATATGTATAATTATTCCAGAAATTCATGCTAGAACCTTTAAAAATGTCATATGAGTATGATTTGACTTAATCAGATCAAATTGATAAATTTTTCATTCATTTGCCTAAGTATCCCTAAGATAAGTAATGGCATCATTATACAGTAGAGTTCATTATAACTATCTATATTGATGATTTCTTTTACAACTTCATTTGTATCTATATCTATATGAGTTCGTGTCAACTATCTAGATTTATGCTTTTCAGTACAAAAACAAAACAGACATGTATGGACATAAAAGATGTATGCTACCTTTTCTGCGATTTGAGCAAATCTTTAAAAATGTTACTTTAAATTTATGAATAAAAAACATCATATAATATTAATTTACTAACATGAAATTATATACAACAGCACTATCTATAAGTACATTTGTACCTGCATACCAACTGCAATCCCCTTGCATGAATTACGATGACCTTCCCTTGACACAAATGGTTTGTGCAGATATTGTTGGCTGTCAGATAGTTAATAAATCGGAGATAAACGCCAAATAAAGCCAAAACGTGCCGTGTTAAAAAGTTGGTTATTTACTGCAAACGGATAATGTGTGACTTCCTGATATAATGGTTTAGTTGTCGTCGATAGAATTTAACAAAGAATAAAAATTTAAAGAGGCCACAGAACGATTGTCACTGAGCTATCCGAAAGCAACAACAGTTTATTTGAAAGTACATATACACACATCCATTTATATTACAGCTTACCAATAAGTAAAGTTAACATAAATTTGTTTCAGTTTACATTTTAGCAATGATATTGTTGTTAGAAAAACATTTTTATGAAATTTCTTGTAATTTTAATGATACATAAGCAGAAAATCACTTTAAGAGGTATTTTCATTTCATCATTTTGTGAAGTTTGATGGCTAACAGTCTTGCAGTCTTAAACATCTTAAGTTACTGAACTTTGCAAAAAAAAGAAAATACCGCTTGAGTATTCATTTTTAAAGTCAAAAACTCAAAAAGTATAGGCTGTTAGACCGCTACACTGCCAATTTCACAAAATTATTAATATAAAAGAATGTCGTACGAACTACATAAAGAGCCGTTTTTAATGTTTATATAATATGTTCTATAATATTTCAAGAACTTCAAATGTTTAAACAACCATTTTCTTCACACCGTTAAGCTGCAAATTTCACGCTCTTGGCCGCCAAGCCAATGGGCTGCAAACATAATTTAATATTGTTAGATTTGAAAGATTAAATTAAATTTAAAAGTACTAAATCCTTTATTTCGCTTTATTATATTTTCTTCTAGAAAATATTATTAAACATTATATTAATGTATCATATTTTCATATTAAAAACAATTCTTTGATCATGCAATCGAGCAAGCACATATGAGCCGCGTCATGACAATGCCAACATTGTGCGTTTGCGACCAGCATGGATTCAGACAAGCCGGCGCATCCGCGCAGCCTGATCAGGATCCATGCTGTTCGCTCTCAATTACTCTACTTGCTATAGGGTTTATAAGAACCATTTGTATAATAACAATGCAGACAATGACTCCTGCTTTTTTTTTATTAAGGATTAGGGAAAACCCAGACAACTAATAAAACGTTTGCCTTATTGACAATAGATACATAAGTTCCTTTTCTCGTGATATGTCACTACCATTTGATTAAATATTTCAGCACAAACTATATTTACTATAAAGTTATTGTATTGAATTGAGCATTGAATTGTATTTAGAAAAAGAAGATTAAAAAAAAGAGATAAAAATGGACATATAATGGCACAGTCATTGAAATTGTAGACAATTTTAATTATTAAGGAACGTTAATTTGCTACAATGGCAATTTTGCCCTGAATAATGAATATTTATCTGGCAAAGCATTAAAAGCTTGAAATGTTTTATCATATAATTGTAAAAACATACCTCTCAGATTAACTTAGATTAAAAGTACTCTGACAATTGTTTAATTGACTCTTTTGTAGGCTCGATGTTATTATATGTCAGTGAGGAATATGGTTTTAGTAAGTTTAAGGAACTATAGCGGTTACATTTAAAGTTTTCTAAAAGTTAACTAACGTACCTATTAATTCGAGCAATTATGCTGTATATGGTGAGCTTAAGCGATATCCTTTGTATATATTACGCTATGTAAAGGTTAAACATTATTAGTACGTATTTACAAAGTTAAATTAGTCAGGTGCGGCGCAAC